GAAAGGGAAGACAACATAACTACAATCTGGTCTGGACACCTGGTTGAAATCCATAACAATTTTGAATCCTGATTTTTGTGCTTAACAATACATTCTGATATCACCAAAGTTTTGTTTGATGATGAACAAGTTATTGAAGTGAAGAATTTAACTCTTTCTATATAAGAAAATTCGAAACTTCTGAAAGCTTCAAATATTTAAGAACGTAAGAGGTTTAAAGGCTTTTCTTTTCATAAAGCGTCATATCATTAAGATAATTTTTTGTTCAAAATTTAAAATATTTAAATACTGTTGACTTTTGTCGTAATTGAGAAAAAATTCGTAAAATTTGATATCACAGATAAGATGTAAAAATTAGATTCAATTCAAAGTTGCATTTTATTTTATAGAATTTTAATCTTGAACAGTCAAAACATCAACGAAAAGTTTAATCAAAGCAATATTATCATCATTTTCATTATGAAATCGTAAGAGAAGACTGTAATTTGATGTGGGAGCGTTTTTTTTAGCACCTGGTCTACTAATTGTGATGTTTAATAATTCATGATGACCCTTGAAATAATTGAATAATTTTTGTTACTCGCTTTCACCAATAATGACACATAATTACTTCTTTTGGACATGGCCCAAGTAATTTTTTCGGCAAATTTGCTAGTAAACCCATTCCAAACTTCATCAGACCAACATTTGTTCCATTAAAAAACTTACAAATTTCTATGTCATCTCCTTTCGTAATTGTTCGGAAGCTCTTTCCTAATTTCGCGGAGAATTCATAAAAAACCTGGAATTTTTAAATCAAAGATTATTAAAGTTTATGCTTTTATGTTGAAAATAATTTTATTAACCATAAGTTTATTGACTTTTGTAAGGAAATCCAGAACAATGTTGAATCCTGATTGATGTTCAGAGACCGGCTTAACATAACATTCCGATATCACCAAAGTTTTATTTGATCCTGAACAAATTATTGAAGTGAACGAACTTATTCGTTTGGCATAAGAGATGCCAAGAAGTACGAAACATCCAAAAAATATAAACAATTTCAGAGCTTTAGAAACTTCCATCGTAATCCACAAGACTAAACATGAAATCTACAAGTATGAACATATAAATGACAGATAATAATAATTAACTAATTACTTTTAAACGCCTAATAAGTTTAAGTTAATAATTTTTCAAACCTTTTCATCCGACGAATATTTTTTAAAATTTTAATTACGTGAGCTGCTGATGGAAGGAAGTATTTAAACTATTTGGAGTAACAACATTGAGTCAGTGTTCAATCTTATAACTTCATCCCTTAAGCAATTATCTGGATCTATGTAATATCATAATTTTTAGGGAACGTAAGAAAAACCTTCGGGATAAGCTTGGCATAGCGTTTTTAGAACTTGCTTTACCTGCTGTAACGTTAATACATAGTTCAAAAGATTTTCTGGTCAAACTCATAACTTATTTCATGACACTTAGATATATGTGAATAAGAAAGTTTGAAACTTCTGAAAGCTCCAAGTTGTTAAAAACGTAAGAGCCTTAAAAGCTTTCTTTTAAATTTTCATATGGCGTCATATCATTAAGCTAAGTTCTTGTTCAAAATTTAAAATATTTGAATACAATTGACTATTATTTTGATTGAGAAAAAAACATGGATATCATAGATAAAAGATCTAAAAATTAGATTCAATTCAAAGTTGCATTTTATTTTACAGAATTTTAATCTTTAACACTAAAAATATCAAGGAAAAGTTTGATCGAAGCAATATTGTCATCGTTTTCATTATGAAATTGAATGAAAATACTGTAACTATTTGTGGGACCGACTGTCTTATCAACTGCTCCACCAATTGTGATGTTTAAAAATTCATGATGACCCTTGAAATAATTAATTCACGTTTGTTGCATGTTTTTTCCAATAACAATTGATAATTACTTCTTTTGGACATGGTCCAAGTGATTTTTCCGGCAAATTTGCTAACACATTTATTGCATACTTCATAAGACCAACGTTGGTTCCATTAAAAAACCTACAAATTTCTACGTCATCTCCTTTCACAATTGTTCGAAAGCTCTTTCCTAATTTAGCCCCGAATTCATAATTAATCTGAAATTATTTAAATTAAAGATTATTAAATTTTATGGTTTTATAAAAGTAATTTTTATAACCATAAGTTTATAGACTTTTGTAATGAAATCCAGGACAACGTTGAATCCTGATTGATGCTTAGAGACCGGCTTAACAGAACATTCGGATATCACAACAGTTTTATTTGATCCTGAACAAACTATTGAAGAGATTGATTTAATTCGTTCAGCATAAGAGAATCGAAGAAGAATGAAAAATACAAGAAATAAGAACAATTTCCGAGGTTTAAGAACTTCCATCGCAACAATCACAAAACTAAACATGAAAATTTCAAGTATGAACATAGACAGATGAAAATAATTAAATAATTAGCTTTGAAAGCTTCCATTTTAAATTTCAGTGATGAACTGATAACCCAAATTGAAAACAAAATTTAAAGCATCTCATCATTAAGCTAATTGTTCAAAATTTAGTATAAGTAAATATTCAAATACAGTTGACTGATGTTTCAATTGTGAAAAAAAATATGAATATCATAGATAAAAAATCTAAAAATTAGATTCAATTCAAAGTTACATTTTATTTTCAAGAATTTTAATCTTTAACATTAAAAGAATCAAAGAAAAGTTTGATCGATCCAATATTGTCATCATTTCTATTATGAAATCGAATGAAAATACTGTAATTAGATGCGGGAGCGACCTTTTTCTTATCAGCTGGTTTACGAAGTGTGATGTTTAATAATTCATGATGACCCTTGAAAAAATTAATTAATGTTTGTTGCATGCTTTTACCAATAATAACACATAATTACCTACTTCCTTTGGACATGGTCCAAGTGATTTTTTCCGAAATTTTTTCAGTATACCCATTGCAAACCTCATGATTCCATCATTAGTTCCATTAAAAAACCGACAAAGTTCTACGTCATCTCCTTTTGCAATTATTCGAAAAGTTTTTCCTTTTTTAGCCCAGAATTCATAGTAGAGCTGAGATTTTTAAATAAAAAATTATGTTATTTTATGATTTCATGTTAAAAATAATTTTATAAACCATAGCTTTATTGACTTTTGTGAGGAAATCCATAACAATGTTGATTCCTGATTGATGCTTAGAGACCGGCTTAACAGAACATTCGGATATCACAACAGTTTTATTTGATCCTAAACAGACGATTGAAGAGATTGATTTAATTCGTTCAGCATAAGAGAATCGAAGAAGTATGAAAGATCCAAGAAATAACAACAATTTCAGAGCTTTAGAAACTTCCATCGTAACAATCACAAGACTAAATATGAAATTACAAGTATGAACATATAAATGACAGATAAATATTAGTAAATAATTAAATAATTACATTTAAACACCTTATAAGTTTGACTGGATAATTTTCCAGAATAATATTTTCAGCGGCTTACGTATCTAATCAAAATTTAAAATATTTAAATACAGTCGACTTTCGTTGTAGCTGAGAATGAATCTCCAAAATAAAATATAAATTCATGCTTTTTGTTCTGTTAACAATTCTAAGGAATGATTCATGATATGCAAATATTCACATGACCTTAAAATTCATCAAAATATAAGCATAAAATTAAACGTCTGGAATCGACATGAATATCACAGTTAAGATGTAAAAATTAGATTCAATGCAAAATTAAATTTTATTTTGTAGAATTTTAATCTTGAACATTAAAAGCATCAATGGAAAGCTTGATCGAAGCCAAATTATCATCATTTCCATTATGAAATCGCAAGAAAAGACTGTAATTAGCTGTGGGAGCGATTGTCTTATCATCTGTTCTACCAATTGTGATGTTCAAGAACTCACGATGACCCTTAAAAAAAAAAGTTAATGTTTGTTGCATGTTCTTTGCAATAGCAACACATAATTACTTCTATTGGACATGGTCCCAGTGCCTTTTTTGGAAAATTTTCTAACATACCCATTGCAAACTTCATGAGACCAACGTTCATTCCATCATAAAACCTACAAATTTCTATGTCATCTCCTTTCGCAATTGTTCGGAAGCTCTTTCCTAATTTAGCACCGAATTCATAATAGATCTGAAATTTTTTTAAATCAAAGATTTTTAAAGTTTATTTTTTCATGTTGAAAATAATATTCTTAACCATAAGTTTATTGACTTTTGTGAGGAAATCCAGAACAATGTTGAATCCTGATTGATGCTTAGATACTAGCTTAACATAACATTCCGATATCACCAAAGTTTTATTTGATCCTGAACAAACTATTGAAGTGAATGAACTAATTCGTTTGGCGTAAGAGATTCGAAGAAGTATGAAAGATCCAAGAAATAAAAACAATTTCAGAGCTTTAGAAACTTCCATCACAACAATCACAAGACTAAATATGAAATTACATAGAATGAACATTTGAACAAGTTTGAGTGAACAATTTTTGAAATCTTTTCATCCGACGAATATTTTTAAAATTTTAATTACGTATGCCGCTGTAGGAAGGAAGCATTTAAAATATTTGGAGTAACGTTGTTGCTTTTCTAGTTCATCTATAACATTGCAATATATCTAAAACAGAATCGATCATCCAAAAATGAACTTTAGATTGCTCTCTGTAAATTCAACCACTATTTATTTTATTTCAATATGCACATATGAAGAATTTGCTAGGATGTAAAATTAATCCTCAACGTTTATTGAGTCAGACATTAATTTAAGCGTCATAATATTTTGATCATCTTCGTTAAAGAACCTTATGGGTGTCAGATAAGTTGCTTCTGGGAAATTCGATGCTTTAGAATCGAGTCTACCAGCTGTAATGTTAATGAGGTCATGATGGCCCTAGAAATAACGAAATAAATATGAAAATTTCTTAAGAATAGAACTGAGATTCATAATTCTTTAAAAGCAGTTGAAATCCAGTTCCAATTTTCCAAAAATTTTTGTGTAAATAATTACAGAGATTGGACATGGCTGAAGTGATTTTTTTGGAAAAGATTTCCTAATTATGTTCAATGCAAATCTAACAGCATTAGATTGCTTTCCTCCTAGCATTTCACAGATGTCAATATCGGAACCACTTATCAAGGATTGAAAGTCATTTCCAATTTTAAGGCTAAAATCGAAGGCCACCTAAGAAAAAAGTTTGAAATGATAAGAAATGAAGTGAAATAGAGACAAGCACTTGACTTACTTTCAGAGAATGAATTTTCTTAATAACATCGAATACAATATTAAATCCATATTTTCGTTTTGAAACAAGTCTAACATAACATTCTGAAACAATTACAGTTTTGTTGGAACCTGAACAAGTTATGGAAGAAAATGAAATAACTCTCTTCGCGTAAGAAAGTTTGGAAAAATATAAAACTCCTAAAATTGTCAAAAAAATTGAATTTTTAAAAACTTTCATCTTTATTTGTCAGCGCTACATTCAAAATCCGGACACAAACTACTTTTTTACGGAGGCCCCACCCTAGGGTGACGGGCAACCGTATTGGATTTGCCCAAAAATTTCAAAAAATTTTCTTTGCTCAATTACACTTAAAATGGCGTGAAACGTCGAGAAAAGTGGAGAAAAGCAGAAAAAAATTTTTTGTCCGCTTTCGGGTCTGTGGGGATGGATGGATGGATGGATGGATGGATGGATGGATGTAGACACTCGCATTTCTACATTTCTTAACCGATTTTAAAAATTTCTTCACCAATGTGTTTTAAATACGAATAGAAAGTTTCTATCAGATTATTGGGTGTGTACCTTTCCTCTTTCGGGTACCTGCCATACAAAATNCACTTTGTGTGAAAAGTTTCTGGAATATCGAAGGTGGAAACATTAGTAAAAATCTAACTCCAATAAGGGGCCACTTTGTGTGAAAAGTTTCTGGAATATCGAAGGTGGAAACATTATACAAAGTGGCCCCTTATTGGAGTTAGATTTTTACTAATACTGTTCGTCTAGAAATTCTATAACTGCCGGAGTTTTAAATATCGGGCTTTTGCACGATATTTATTGTTGGGGCCGACTTTCGGTAACAGACTTTTTTCCGCATTATGTTTGTTGGAGGTAATTGATCAATTAGAACAAGATATCAACTTTGATTTTTAAATTTGACAGCAATTAAGAGATAAATTCTGTTATTAGCCAACCGGGATTTTTTTTTATCATTTCAACGAAATTATCTAAGTCATTAAAATTTCTTCTTGGATTTCAAAATTAATTCCTCATGCAATTTTCTTTCTTAAACTTTATCATCTGAAAAGCTTTTTTCCTGGTTTAACATTACATGCTGTTATCAAAACCCTTTTGTTTGAACCTGAACATGTTCTAGGAGTAGATATATAAATAAAATTCTCTTTTTTCCTTGAAAAGTTTTTAAAAGTTCATTTACTGCAAAACTTATTGACAAAATTCATATAAATTCATGAATCATGACATTAAAAATAGTTTAAAATAAAGATAGACATCTTATGGATTTTTTCCTGAATTTATTCAATAATTAGCAGTCATCGGATGACTGTCATCCTGATGTAAACATTCGATTGCAACTATCACATTAAAAACTTTAATTCTCAAGAAATGGAAACTTTTAAATATCCTTTGATGTACATGTCACATTAAGTGACGCGATGTTGTCATCTTCCTTATTGTAATATTTCAATTTAATCATATACATTGCTGGCGGAAATACTGTCATCTTTGTTTCCGAAGAGCCTGATAAAATATTTTTCAATTCTATAGTGCCAGCCTTTAAAAACAATTTTTGTTAAAGCTTTTATTTTGAGAAATTGAGTATAAAAGCTTACCTTATACGGACATGGGTGTAAAGATCCTTCCGGAAAGTGTTTTCGAACCAAATTCAAGCCGTAATTAAGTGCAATGCTTTTCTTTGACCCATCGAGATACTTGCACATGTCAATATCCTTGCCATTAACTAATGAACGAAATCCTCTATTTGCTGCTTTCAAAGTCACATCATATGCAAACTTATGATATGAGAAGTTTATTAAATTGAACTTTCAGAAAGTTAATATTCTACTCACTGAGATGTCAGGAACAGTTTTAAGAAAATGTATTACAACATTTAATGTTGCGATATCATCCGTAATCGGTTTCACAAAACATTCAAAAAATACCAAACTTTTATTAGAACTCAAACATGACACCGAATTAAAGGTAATGACTCGTTTGGCAAACGAAATGTCCAAAACGCAATAAAAAGCGAAGATAATAAGAAATTTAGAAGCGTTAATTCCTCTCATTTCAATTGATTGGAAGAGACAAATAGAAAACGAGACACTCACTAAAACATTGTGTTTCAATCGTCACGAATAATTAGGTGTCAACATCTAGTAATCTGAAATAAATTTTAATTGCTTGAAAAATTAGTGAAATGAGTTTTTAATTAACTTTTCTAGTTTTTAGCTTATTAAACTTCATGATTTACAAGAAGGAAAAAGCAGGAGTTAATGAATTTTGAAATACAGTGGAACTTCGATAAACAGATATACCTTGATAAACAGATATTTTTTTGTCCCCTTGAATCGAATTTGTATGAAAAATTGCCTCGATTAACTGATGCACCTTCAGCCATCTGTTTATCAAAGTTCCACTGTATTATTTTTAATACCTAAATAATATTCGTGAATGTCAAGGTTTTAAAATGTAACCATTTTAACTGTTGCTATGCTGTCATCGTCATCATTATGAAACTTTTTAATCTTTTACTTATAATAATTTAAAGCTTTTATTGTCAAGTACATAATTGAAAAGTTTTAAACATTCTTTGATGTACATGTCACATTAAGTGATCCTATGTTGTCATCTTCCTTATTGTAGTATTTTAATTTAATCATATAAGTTGCTGGCGGAAAAATTGTCATCTTTGTTTCTGGAGAGCCTGATAAAATATTTTTAAATTCCATCGAGCCAGGCTTTGAAAAAAAATTTTGTTAAAGTTTCTATTTTCAGAAAATGAATTAAAAAAAAGCTTACCAAAAATGGACACGGGTGTAAAGCTTCTTTCGGAAAATATTTACCTACCAAATTTAGAGCGTATTTCATTACACTGCTTGTCTTTGACCCATCGAGAAACTTGCATATGTCAATATCCTTGCCATTTACAAATGAACGAAATCCTCTATTTCCTACTTTCAAAGTAACATCATATTGAAGCTTATGACATGAGAAATAGAAATTTAGTGAACTGAACTTTCATAAAATTAAAATTCTACCCACTAAAATATCATGAAGCGTTTTAAGAAAATGTACTACAACATTTAATGTTGCGATCTCATCCGTAATTGGTTTCACAAAACATTCAAAAAACACCACACTTTTATTAGAACTGAAACATGACACCGAATCGAAAACAATGACTCGTTTTGCGAAAGAAATATCCAAAACACAATAAAAAGTGAAGATCATAAGAAATTTAGAAGCGCTTAATCCTTTCATTTCAATCGATTGGAAGAGACAAACAAAATAAAAAACGAGATACTCAATAAAACAATTGTTCGAACTTTAATTACTTCAAAAATATGTTAAATTATCATCAAAGCTTTTTGACTTTAATATTTAATCGGTCTATTAACTGAAATTTTGAAATATCTGTTGTCCATGATCAGATAAATAATATTTATTAGAAACTTTTAAATATCCTTTGATGTACATGTCACATTAAGTGACGCGATGTTGTCATCTTCCTTATTGTAATATTTCAATTTAAGCATATAAGTTGCTGGCGGAAATACTGTCATCTTTGTTTCCGAAGAGCCTGATAAAATATTTTTAAATTCCATAGTGCCAGCCTTTAAACCAACTTTTTGTTAAAGCTTTTATTTTCAGAAGTTGAATTTGAAAGCTTACCGTATATGGACACGGGTGTAAAGATCCTTCCGGAAAGTGTCTTCGAACCAAATTCAAGCCGTAATTTAGTACACTGCTTTTCTTTGACCCATCAAGAAGCTTGCACAAGTCAATATCCTTGCCATTAACTACTGAACGAAATCCTCTATTTCCTGTTTTCAAAGTCACATCATATGCAAACTTATGATATGAGAAACAGAAATTCAGTAGGTTGATCTTTCATAAAATGATTTTACTCACAAAAGCATCAGAAACCGTTTTAAGAAAATGTATTACAAAATTTAATGTTGCGATATCACCCGTAATTGGTTTCACATAACATTCAAAAAACACCATACTTTTATTAGAACTCAAACATGACACCGAATCGAAAACGATGACTCGTTTTGCGAAAGAAATATCCAAAACGCAATAAAAAGTGAAGATCAAAAGAAATTTAGAAGCGTTTAATCCTTTCATTTCAATCGATTTGAAGAGGTAAACACAAAATAACGAGACACTCAATATAACAACTGAAATTAGTTTTAGTTGCTTCAAAAATTTGTTAAATTATCATCAAAACTTTTTTATAATAACATTTAATCGATCTATTTTCAAAAATTTTGAAATATCTGTTGTCCACGATCAGATAAATAATATCTGAAATAAATGAATAAATTATGGGAGCCAGGAAAAAAACTAAACCATTAAACTATAATTTTAAATACGGAAGTTCCTTTTCAACAAGTTTTTTAAATAATTACATATTTAGATTTTCTCTCGGCCCGATAAATAAATTTAGTTCAGTCTTACCTATGTAGGAATCAACACCAAAATGTTACATTTGCGAATAAATAGAATAAATACTTTTTGATATTTTTTCATTTTACATTTACAGTTTTAAAGTTTTAATGATCAATAAATATTAAAAAGTTGAGGATGATAAGTAGATAAAAGCTTAATTGAAAGCTTTATTAAATAAAATATGATCAGCATGATCCAGAACATAAATCACCATAATCCGTTGAAGAGAATGATTGTGTCCCAGCTAATATCAACTTTTAATTTTTTTGTTTCAGTCTTGTTTCAGCTTCTGTTCTTTCCACGCATCGGATTTATCTTTTAATTAAAATAATCTTTCTTATATCTCTACCTGAAAAAATCATGGTCGCTTTAGCTCCAACAACTCAGTTGAACAACGGAAAGGAAATTCCAATCGTTGGTTTGGGTAAGTTAAATTAAAATAATTACATTCGATTTCTTATTTCAAATTATCTAGATAATAAAATTAATATTGTTTTAATTTATTTTTCATAGGAACATGGAATGTGAGTAGATATATATAGAAATAATCAGATTTGTGATTAGAAATCGATGTTTGTGATTAGAAAGAAAAGAAATATGGAACAGTTTTGTGAAACGTTTTTAAAATATTTTCAAGGTCACAAGTTAAAATAAAAAGAAAAACTGAAAATGTAGAAACCATCTAAACTAAACCCACGCATATGTTTTAAGTCTTAAGTATCGATAAAACTATGTATTGGAATAATCAAATGTTAATATTTTAAAAAGCGTTTTTGGTCATTTTAATGAATTTTCAAATAAGACAATACCGGCTTAATTAAACTAACAGCTTGCAAGTTATGCAATTGATGAAGCAGGAAAATATTTAAAAATTTATTTAACGGTTTTCTACTCTTTTTCCTTAGTCACCACCTGGAGAAGTTGCTCAAGCTATCAAAGATGCTATAGACGCTGGATATCGTCACATTGATGGAGCTTTTGTGTGAGTATATTAAATGAAGTTAGTAATGTTTGCAATTTATAATGAATCTTTATAAAATATTTGCTTAGCTATGAAAATGAACACGAAGTTGGGGAAGGCGTAAATGCAAAAATATCCGAAGGTGTTGTTAAAAGGTAAATTCATATTTCTTTTAAATTAACTCATTAAAATCAAATTGTTTCTTAGGGAGGATTTATTTATTACCAGTAAATTATGGAATACTTTCCATGATCCTAAAGATGTTCGTAGTGGAATCGAGTGCACTTTAAAACAACTGAATTTAAAGTACTTAGATTTGTATTTAATTCATTGGCCGATTTCTTATCAAAAATCAGATGAACTTTTTCCCAAAGATGCTTCTGATAAAATGCTACATGCAAACATCGATTTAAAAGATGTTTGGAAAGCAATGGAAGAGTTAGTTGATGCCGGTTTGACAAAATCTATTGGAGTAAGCAACTTCAACATCAAACAAATCGATTACATTCTTGCCAATGCCAGAATCAAACCAGTTGCAAATCAAATTGAAGTTCATCCTTACTTTTTGAACAAAGATTTGATTCAACATTGTCGCAGCAAGAACATCGTTGTCACAGCTTATTCTCCTCTTGGATCTCCTGGCCGTCCATGGGCAACTCCTGACGATCGTGTTCTTATGAAGGAACCAAAATTACTTGCAATTGCAGCCAAGTATAACAAGACTCCTGGTCAAATCTTGATTCGTTACCAGGTTCAAGTTGGCAACACTGTCATCCCAAAATCCGTCACAAAAGAACGAATCATAAGCAACTTTGATGTATTTAACTTTAAACTAACTGACGAAGACATCAAAGATCTTGAAAGCTTCGGATATGTTGAACAAATTTGTAAAATGTCTATGGATGTCGATCACCCTGATTATCCATTTTAAATTATTAATTAACATTTTTTTGCTACTTCAACGACAATCTGAAATAAAACTCGACCTTTTTAAAAGAAAGTCAAACATTTTTATGTTAATTTGGATTTTTTATTGCTTATTTTTCTTTTGCAATCAAAAATATATTTTAGCAAATTGGAGAAGGTAGAACATTGATACATAAATATAATGAATATTACATTTCTAATTACGTAAACTACAAGAAGGGTTTCAACTTCTTTCATTCAAACTTATAATAAATTTAAAAAAAAAACTTAAAAATGATTTCGAAATAAATAATTTTTTCCTTCTTTGATTTTTCATTTCTTTCCCCGATTATTTAAAAATTTATTAAAGCGATTAATGATTATAAGTATTACACTTAAGATGATGAAAAATGAATAATAAATCTAAAAACAAATCATGGCCACTAAATCATTATAGTAATGGATAAACAAAAACTGTACGTAGGTCGGAGTATCTCGAATATATTTTTAAAACATCAAGAAAAAAAAAATTTAAAACAACAACAATGTTGCATTTACAAACAACTCATTTAGACCACAAACCACATTCTTTCATGTCGAGCCCAAAAAAGGATTTAAATCAACAGCAACAACAACATCAACAGCAAAATCAACGAACGATACAAGTTTTGATAGATATCACATGAAGCGCGAATATGAGGGTGGAGTTCTTGTTAAATGGGTGGGCGATGAAAATGATTCGATTTTAACTTCTCAGATTTCCAACTCAAAGCTCCTTTCCATTTCCTTTAACTCTAAAGGAGACGAAGGTGCATCTGGAATTGAATGATTGTCATCATCTCTTGAATGTGAAAATTCTAATCTGGATCCTAAATAAAAATGTGATGGAATTAATTTTTTTTCACATGAATGTTTAAGATTCTTACCATCACTTGACTTTGCACGATGATGCAATTCTGCTTTAACTTTAACTATAGGAATTAATGGTAAATTTAAAATGGCTTCTTTGGATTCGTCTCGAGGTGCACAAGGTGATGTCGGTAATGAATCAATTTTTGAATTCAGAGATTCCATTAAAAGGCTCTATGAAAAAGAAATTTCTTTATTTTTCAAAGATCAGACATTACAGTGAAGTCTCTCTATAAAGAATGAGAAAGAGAGCTTTCACTGTGTTTATACAAATAAAATTAATTTTTAAAATACTCACATCTTCTGTTTTAGAAAAGTTGAACGAATCTGTTTCATTCTCATTCTCATCATGATTTGGACGTAAGTTTCTTGACTTCAACTCGTAGTTATGAATGATTTGTTGAGCATGTCGTAACTTTTGTTGTGAATTTCTCAGCTTCTCTTCAAGTGAAATCGCTTCGACACATTTCTGCGAATATTTTTCACTTAACGATAAAATTTCCTGACGAACTTCTTCGAGTTCTTTTTCTTCTTTGTAAGCAGCAAGTGATTCGAGATGTTCACGATTTTCGCTGTTAAATTTACGTAAGAATTCTTGCTTGAATCGATTGACTTCACGTTGAACTTCATTTTGATGAGCTTTTCTCATTGATTCAAGAGCTTGAAGTGTTGCCTGATGAAGGAAATATAAATAAATTTTTGACATAAAGAAGAAAGTTTTTAATCTCACCTGAGTTTCTTCAGCTAAAGCTGTTTCCTTTTCATTTAACAGTCTTTGGATCTCGGATTTATGTTTTGCTTCCAAGTCAGAAATTATTCGTTTGTGAGATGATTCCATTGCTGACAAGCCTTTCTCGCATAATGTCTGTTAAAATAATCAAATTATTTCATTACATAAATCTTTTATCTTTAAATTACAAACTCACCCTTAACTGTTCAATCTCATTTTGATATTTCTGACGTAAATCTTCTTCGTCAGCTGTACGATCTCTTTCAGCCTGATCCGATGTTAACTGTTCCTGATAAAACTGATGAAGTCGATCAATTTTCTCAGCTGTTTCAAGCTCTATCAATTCAAGCTTATGTTGAAGATTTCTGTTCATTTCATGCTCGTGATTAAACTGTTCATACAATCGATCGAAATTCATTTTCATTTCACTTATTTGCTCTTTGTCATTGCACAATTTTTCTGTCACATCTTCAAGCTTTTCTTTACAGTGCCAAAACTTTGTGTTCATTTCACTCAATTGTTGCATAAGTTCGCTACTTTGCTTTGTCTTATCATGACATTTACTTTCCATACATGACAACTCATATCTCAGTTGCTTTACTAGCGCCCTCTGTTCGTCAATTTGCACATTAATCGATAAAATTTCTTCCGAATGATTTCGTTTTAAGTTATCAATCTCTTCATCATGTTGATTTGATATTTCAATTATTGCTTCCTGCATTTTATCACACTCTTGACATGGCATAGATAACATCTTATTGACAGCAAACATGAGCTTCTCACTCATTTGATAGAACTCGTTTAATTTCGTTGAAATATTTTTGATGTTATCCAGATGAAGATTTTGATGATGTTGATGATTGACATCAACAGTTGGATCGAGTTTGTTGTGAAGTTGAAGTAGAATTTCTTCAATTTTTATCACAACATTTGATAAATCATTAATTTCTTGCTTATTTATGTTAAAAGCGAAAGCAAAATTTTTGAACATAAAGTTGAAGTCAGCTTCGGCAAGGATGTCGTCAGTGTTACTGATATCCATGTCTTCTGATAATTCAACAAAAAGACTCTCATATTTCTGCATTGATGCAAGACTGTGAAATGTTCTCTCAACAGCAGGTTCTACATGAACATTAGAATTAATTGAATCACCTCTAATAACAGCAATTCTCGCATCAATTAAAGCTTTTTGTGCAATGATATCAGCAAATTCAATCAACAACTGACGACCTTCACTTGCTTTCCGTTCCTGTTCAAGATGTAAACGCCACTGACCTTGTTTCATCTTTGTAAGATTCTCTTCATAACATTCCGTGAGTTGAGCTATCGTTGACTCCATTTCCTTCCTCAAAGAGTCTTGAACAGCATCAGCAAACATCTCAAAGCTTATTCGTTCTTGCGATGTCAAAGCATAACCAAATGAAGGCGCCAAAGTATTTTCATATCGTTTTGCGGTTTTCTTCATTATGTGACTGATCTCATATTGTATCAACTCAGCATTGACTGTCTCTTGTGCATATCTCCACGCTTCTTGTACTGCACCTTGAACTGTGCTATTAGCAGAAATATAATTGAGAGTTTCAGCTGCCAAATCATAAGCTAAGTTCTCAATCGTATTAATCTTGTAACGTTTTGTGATCAAACCCAATTCATTTTGTTGTCTCAAAAGATCTTCCATGAAGTTGTGATCAACAGTTGCTGGAAAAGGTGACAATGTTACCATCTCATTCATTTGTTCCAACTTTGATGCGGTGAGTAAAAGTCTTCGTGCAAGAACTTGCGCAAGAACATCTAAACTTCCACTGTTCTTTGTTGTTACTGATTTCCCACAAAGCTTCGCTTTCAATAATGCCATGAGTTGTGTCGTTTCAGCAATCTCACATTTTGTTTGATGATCGACAAATTTATCAACTTGATCAGCGCGACAAAGTGAATCACGAAGCTTTCCAAAACAAACACTCTCGAAAGCCATTCGCTCTGCCAAAAGTTCCAAATCTTTCTTGCGTGTCAATTTGTTAGTTTCACGTAGAATTCGTCGCTGTTTCAACAACTCACTTAATTTAGCCTTGAGTTGGGACTCGAGTTGGAGTAGCGCAACCTTAACTGAACCTGTTTCTTGAATGATTTCGTCATTTGTTGGTTGCGATGTTGCTGTCACTGTTGTCGTTGTTGTGGGTTGACACTCAGATAACATTTTCACACTCTCAACTAACAGCTGTTCAACTCTCATCGTTTCGGGACATCGTGAACGTGACATCTTATTATGATGATGAATTTGTTGTAATCCATCTTCAAGAAGACTTCGACTTGATGTTATGACATTCTCAAGACTTCGAAGACATTCGTGTAATTGCTCGGACGTCTTCTGTGTGTTTGTTGAATCGCTTGAGATTGTTGATAGACTCAAATTACTACTGTTACTTTCTAACTTCTTCTCGAGCGCATTTAATCTCACCAGAAGTTGCATCGGTTGACTGGAAAGCGAATCTAATGATTTTCTTCTTAATTTAGTGGTTGAACGTTTCTCAGGCGTTTCACAACGTGACGGTGAAGCTCTAAGACTACAATTCGAAGGCGATGGCATGTCAACATCAAGATTCATCTCAAATTTCCCTTCCAACTCCATCACTTTGTCTTCCAATTCTTTCTGTAGTTGAAGAGTTTCTTTTCCTTTAAGCGACGACGTTCGTTTTCGTTCTGACTTCATTAACTTCTGCTTTAAACTTCTGACTTGTTTCTCAGCTGCTGCATATTTATTCGTCATGTCTTGAATTCGATCTGCCATCATCTTCGTTCGCATTTGGTTCTCATTTTGCTTTCTCTCCAATTCTTGTCGTAAACTTGAATGTGCCAAATCTAAATTATCGTAAGAGCTGTAAGATTCTCGAAGTTCTCTCTTCATCATCTTCAACTCATTGACAACTTTTTCGAATCTTTGCTTCAATTCTAAATATTCACTGACAAGTGATTCTTTGTCCAAATCATCGGGATCAACGTCGTTGAGACATGTGAGATCACTAAACGAGTCCATTCGTCGAATACGATCACTCGTTGCTTTGTTGGCATTAGAAATGAGACTAGTTGTAGATGTTGATGGCACTGCAGTTTCAATATTTCTTAATTTACGATAAAGTGCGTCATTTTCTTCAATTCCACGTTGCAATTGATTCTCAACTTCAGTTATTTTACTTTTACTCTCGACAAGTTCTTCGTTTAATTTATTGACAACTTTCTTAGCACCTTCACGATGTTCCATCAACTCTTTCAGTAACTTTTCTTTCATTTCTTCGCTCTCTTTTCTTCTTGCTGTCAATTCCATTTCCGTTTTTTCAAGTGTCGCGACTAATTCCATCATTCGTCTGTCACGTTCGCGTGCTTCATCGTGCATTTGTGAAAGCTTCTTCTCAGTCATCATCAATCTCACTTTTAATTCATTTTCAAGATTTGCTGCATGTTCTTCTTGTAATGGTGGAAAATCATCGACACTACTGTCGATTGTGCTTCGTCGTGACGTCGGTGGGGATGAAAGACTTCGCTTATGTAAATTATTTCTTAAATTTGATCGAATTTTATTTTCTTTGGCATGTGATAAGGTAATTTGAATTGGATTTGATGGTGAAAGCGGTGAGCCCCAATCAATGCTCTCACGACGTCCACCTTCCGATGCTGTTTTGTATTCTTCATCGGATGAGAAAAGAATTGGACGTTGGTTGTTATTGCTCGATGTCGTCGTCACTGGTGTTACTGGTGATGAGATTAATGAATGTTTGGGCTTCTTCTCTACACTTATACCGTTCTCATCTTGAAATGATGGCATTTCAAGCTTCTTGAAACTTCTACTCGTTGATGGTGTCGTTTCGCTCGTTTCGATTTTTTTATTTATGGCTTGCTCATCAAGCGTTTGGTTGATTGTATTGTCGACAAGTCCGGAAGCATTCCGCAAAGCATTAATCCAATTGTTCTTAACATTCGACGTAACCGATGATAGATTGAGTCGTTTATTGTCCCAGGTCTATGTATAAGTACGCATATAATACAGAAGTGAATTAAATTACATATTTAAGTGAGAAAGAAACTAAGAAAAGAACGAATGAATGAGAAAAAATCAAAATAAAGAAGAAACGAATTAAGCAACTGAAGAAGTTTAACAAATTGAAATCTGATTTGTACGTCAATGATGTCATTTATTGGTTCGATTGCTTTTCATCTCTCAATTAAAAGGATCGAGGGGTTGGTAATTTTTATCATTTGAATGAAAAAGAAAAAGAAGATTAAAAGGAATTATTGTTTGAAACTTCAAAAGCTAGATTGAAAATTATGATTTATGATATTGGATTGAAGACGTGTTTGTATAAGGAAGTTCAAATTATAAAATGGAAAAGAAAAACTTTCAAATCAAAAGATGAAGTATGTGAGCAGTGATAGTCCCCTTGACCATAAAATCAGAATGAATGAACAAGATGAATCATTATGAGACATTAAGAAATGAAATGAAAGAAAATTGATGATTTGTGGTGTACGACGATCGAATAGAAAGAAGATAGAAAAGAAATTATATAAATAAATATTAAAGATGGTATTACCGTTAATTGAAAAGCATGATTACGATTAGTTGTAATTTCCTTGATGCTGGTAATGCTATTGACATCAAGAACGCCATCAAGTACACCTCGTTCTTCAGCACTTGGATCACGATAATAAAAAAGTCCGCCACCTTTAAGTGAGAACCAATATTTCGACCATTCCTGGTGATCTTCTTTCATCAACCATCCACTTTTACTATGAAGAATTTCTTCTGATGGCAATTTTACTCGCAACTCGGATGTTTTATTGCAATAGCTTGCAGGCGAATCTTCCATTCCACAGTCGCCGTCTGGATCACCGCGTTCATGTGATTGTGACGAGTTCTTCCTATAATTTATCACTTCCGTCGTATTCTTATTCGTCTTTTTCTTCACTACTGAGATGATCGAAGGTGCTGACGAAACAATTGATAAACTTTGCGGTCTTTTTTGCTTGTTGTTCATCTCATCGCGAGTCGGCGTCTCGTCCAACTGCGCTTCATTCAACGTCCAACGATTTTTACGATCCTTCTCTTGACTTGAAATGTTCGTAATTTTATTGGCAATATCTTTGAGCTTCTCATCCCTGATTACGTCTTCATAAAAGAGCGTTGGTGAGTCTGTAAAGCGATTAAAAAAATAAAAATGTGAGAAACGTGACTATTGATTCGTTCGATGAAGCACAAAAGAAAGAAAATGAAAATAAAAAAATGATAGAATGAAATTATTTTCTTTTGTTTTCATATGGCTTCTTATTTTTTTTAAGTAAAATTTAAGTAAATTAAACCTTTGCGTCGCCTTTTCCAAGGAGCAGAGAACATAAAAGAAGGGAAGAAGAACAAGAAGCCGAACAATAAATAAAACAAACAGCGAATAAAGAGAATCATTTTACTCGCGAATGGCAAATTAGTTGCGGAACATTGAAAATTCATGAAAAAATTTTTTGCGGCAGAAAAACAAATTTCAATCATGTCGAATGAAGTTTTTCTATTTCTAAATTGTTAATTGAGATAGAAGGAAGCTTCATGTCGTCACTTCTTTCATGACTTGTTGTTCAATTAACACGCTCTTTGTATCCAACCGCTTCTTGTGTTATTTATTGAGATTGAAATGTAAGAAGATTTCAACCATCATTGAACGAACTAATTATTGAATAATGTTTATTCTTAATCGCCTTGTTACCAGTGATAATTTTATTTCTTCTTCTTTTTCTCATGCTGCTGTTACTGACTAAAGTGGTCGTCGTTGCCTAATATATCGTTTGTAGTTACGACAATCGTATAATAATAAAAAATGATCGTGTCTTATAATTATTATGCCCTTCATGACCCGTTCGTCGCAATAATATGAAAAGAAAAAAAAATAAGTCGAAATAACAAGAAGAGAAACAATAATTCCATGTGAATTAGAGAAATAAATAAAAGACGCAAAGAGATATCGCAATTCGAGAATCTTTTCTTTTTTCCATTTGGCAAACATAGCTTTAGCAAGACTCTCAGCAACTTCTTTTATATTTACAAACCCCGCGAGTCTCAACAACTTGAGTTGAGAGATTGAATAAAAATTACATCATAAATTAATGTCTGCATGGAATTTTTTTAATGATTAGTTCTCTCTGTCAGCGGACACGAGTTGGAATTTTCTGAGATTTTTTTTGCTGTTGTTGGTTTGATTTCATCCTGCAGGCGTAAATTAAAAACATTTACATATCGCGAGCGATTCTCGATACTGGGCGTTACATGAGATTGCATAACATAAACAATTGTTGTAAGAATAATTTCAAGTAAATGATGTAACGTAAGTACATATGGTGTACACATTACTGACAGACGTTCTGGTTTAACGCCTTAAAAGAACAAATAGTTAGTCTTTCAGTCAACAACAACACAAAACATAACATTCAAAGTGACTTGACACGGCAACATGAAACTCACTTCATTTATCAAAATTGAAATTTAATCGGTTTGATGTGATGTTGGAAGGTAGCGAACGGTGAACAAGAGAAACGATGACGAACAATACCTTCTGGATGTGCCGCTCCAATGAAAAATATTTTCATTAGTTTAGAATAGAACAAGAATACGTAATAACAAATGGAAATTAATATCTTGACACAAACAACAATAACGCGACGACAAACAAAAGAATTGAATTCGCTATTTATTTATTATTATTTCAAAGTTTTGTTGCTGGCATGCTTAAATATCGTGAATAAAATTGTAAACGGACAAGAATCAACATTCAACAGTTTGAGAGAAATAATAAAAGGAAAACAAAAACAAAAAAGTGAGTCTCAGCACAAATCGTTCACGTCAGGTGAACAGGTACAATTTGCGATTTGCGAATAAATATTAAATGCTTGTGTTGCGCTTTACAGCAATTTTCAACCAACAAGTAATTCCTACAACTATGTCGGCGCGAATAATTTGAATGAATTGTGACTGTAAGAGTCTCAACCAACAGCCTTGGCATCTTTCCTTACAGGTTCGGTGAGAAAAATGAGAGGCGAAGAAGGGAAAAAACTATCAACTTAAATGCTGGGCGCAAATTAAAGAAACATTTATCGAATTGCTTTGCTTTATAATATTTTTCTGCTTGGTAGATATGAATTTTCTGCTGTACGTAGAGCTTAATTCTTCTCATTTCATTTATATGGTGTCATGCTTCACAATGCAGCGAGTGGCGGCGGCGGTGGTGGTATCAACAACAACAACAACAATAACAAGCGAGAAACCGCAAGAAAAGATAAATGATGTCAATAAATATTAATTTTTCAATATTCTAGGTTGTGGCGATAGCAAAGGCAACAATTCAAGGGAATAAGAGAGAGATAGTCGCGCGATCGTAAATTATTTGCTGCTTTGGTATCATGTTGAAGCTCACGGCCTTTACACTTGTTGTTTTCAATTATTTCTCTTTATGTTCTTTCCTTTCGTTGGCCTTTGCTTCATCATCTTCTTCCTTGTAATCAAATTTACATATTAATTTGAGCATAACTAGTCGGTGGCGAGAGTTATGTATGTATGAACAGGAACAACGATAAATTCAATCTGCGTCGTTTTATCGCATTTCTCATCCAGTTTAACAAGTGAGAAAACAAAAAAATTCGAAGAGTTTTGATGACGAAGAAGAAATGTTAAGGAAAGAAATAAAAAAACATCCGTGTTGGAAATCATTGAAACCTTAAATAGATTTCGTTATTTTTGAACTGATTCGGAATTGCTTTGCTAGACAACTTGAGACACTCAACTCAACTTAAAGCACATCATGGCATTATGGCATGAAGAGTAAAATAAAATAAAATAAATAAAAAACAACAAACTAGATTTAGATTGAAATGAACAGAGCAAGAAGCAGAGAGAAAGATGGATAAAAATGTTGTTTAGAAACTGGTGTTGTTTGATTTGGCAATCGAACAGCATCGACATCCGGCCCCAATCAGTTATGATCAATTAGCGATTTTTATGCTGTTGTAAAAGGTGATTACTGTGCAGAAAACACGCTGTTTGAAGCAGTTCTTGCAACTCAATTTAATAACTTTAATTTAGCAATTTTCCCGCTCTTTTTTCCTTTATTGTTGACTGACTGTTGCTTCGAGGGTTTTATTGCTTTTATTTATTTATTTGCAAACGGTAGCACCTTGTCAGACATTCTTTCGTCAGATTTGTTTGCTTGCTATGCAGTTTGTTGCACAAAACTTGAGAACGAGCAGCATTAAAATAAAAAATGATTTTTAAACACCTAAGGAGGAGAATCTCATATTTAATTGAAAGTTTATGATAAAAACTGCGCTGCTTAAGTGTCTAGTTAATATATTCTAACGTTAATTGCATAACAAAGACGAACTCTGGAACATGTTTTAATCACACTTGAAGCTTTACAACTGTTCAGCGATTATTAACCCCAGAGACATGTATCCACTTAAGTATTTAGCAAAACATGTGCCTAAGGCTGTTGCTACCCTCGCCCCGTGTCGCTCAAATATTTTTTTTCAATTATCTCTCTGCAATTTCTTGTACTTTTACGAAAATATATTAATAAAAAAAGTGAAATAAATGAAAGAAGTATTCAAGTTATGCCGATGGAAAGAAAAACAAACCGCAATTATTGCATATTTTTGCTATATTTTATGCATCTACAGCAAAGCTTTGAATCAAACAAAACTGTTTAAACTCGCTACACATTGTAGATTCCGTGTCGATATCTAACTAAATATGTACGAAGCCAGTTACTGCCGTGTCGCTCGTTTGTCAAGTTTTCTTGAAACGTTTTTCGACGACAATACTTAATGTGTTGTAAGTACATAAAACGATTGAAAGTTACTATTATTATTATCAGGAATACCGTATGGTCGGCCGTCGACGACAACGATACCAAAATTGATTTGCTTCTTGTTTCGAGTGAAGTAAATGTCTATGTAAGTACCTAACTGTAGCATTTCAATTTCCAGTTTTTGTCTTTTTCTATGATTTTCACATCGAACACTGATCAACCGAGCATGGTCATTTGAAGCATATCATTGATCGTATTTCCTGAATCTTAAAAACTGAGAGACTCTTAAAAGAGAGACGAAGACGAATAATAATCACAGCATATCATAATCACATGTGTATCATTAAAGGAAGGGATTTTTAATGGAGATAATTGCTTTCTCTTTAAAAAGCACTTGAAGGAAGAATTTTGTAATTATGTTGATGATGTTTATGTTGTTTAGGAAAGGAAAAAGGAAGAGACTTTCATGAAGAAATTACAGACTGTAGTCGTTAAACAGAAAATAAAAAAGGAGAAAGAACATATCTTTGCATGCACCTAATTACTATGATGTTAATGTAGACGGAGCTTGCAAGACTAAAGTCGTATCGTAAGTACATGCATAGCATAGCAAAAGCAAGCAATAAACATACAATGACTGTTGTTATTTATTCCTTTCTCGTTCGATATTGTAGCTTTCTTAAGCAACTTTAACTTTGCCTGATGGTGCACAGAAAAATGTGAGAGGCTTGGTCGTCTTAGTGGGTTGTGATGAAATTTTGACAGATGGAAAGATATCTCGATGAAGATTGCGGGACTTAAGCATCGACAATTATGAAGATGACATTGGCATGCTGTGTTGCCATAAACGGAGATAAATGTCAGAAGAGAATAAAGGCAGGTCACATGTCACCATAGTCACAATCATTATCATCATCATTATCATTATTCGTTTACCATTTCAGGGCAATGAACTACTAAACTCGATTGCGTCTTAACTTAAGCAAGCAACTTGTCGTCGTCGTCGTCGTCGATGTTGATTTTTCATAGTGAAAAGAAATTCCAATCGACATTATTTTCATTTCATTTTTTAGTTTTATTTCATAAAACTTGATCATCGCTGATCGTTTGTTGTTATTATGATGAATCAATAATTTTTGAATTGCATAAAAAAATTATTCAACATTAGCAAAAAAAAAGTAAAACTTTGGCATGAAACTTCAAAAAAAAGAAGCATAATAAAGATTTCAACATATCTACACACACATACACACCCAAAATGAAAGGTTAGTTAGGATGATGCACATTCTTTTCATTTCTTCTCTGTTTCTCGGAAATCAATAAGAAAATTGATGTTGGGCTCTGTTATTGTGCAATCTTTCATTTATTTCTTCTTCCCTCCTTAAACAATTTTTTGTTTTCTTCATTTTCTCGATTTTTAACTTGTTGCAATTGTTATTTCATACTTTTTTCCCACTTCTTCTTTCATCTTTAGTTATTTCTTTCAATTTTTTTTGTTTTCAGGGCAGATCATCGATCGGATTGGAATGGATTGAAGGAAAACGAGTGCAGGTAATTCACTTTTGCTATTGCCACAAATGAGCATGTTCATCATCAACAAAACAGCATAATGATGTTGAAAATAAGTGCCATGGACGGTGTCACGTTGTAGATGAATTTCATGATGATGCAATTGTTGTTAATCGGAGTTTATGTGATAAACGTTTGTTTGATTGAGCAGCTTTTATATTTTTCTTTATGTCACATAATCATCGAATAATCCCACTAAATTATTCAATTGAAACTCTATCCGACTTCATTTTTTATTATAAAATATAAAAAAGAAGACACAAAAATGTAAACTCTCATCGATCACCTTCAACCCTCGTCAGCGCATCTCGTCTCCCTCAAGCGACTAAATTTCCTACGAAATTCTTTTCTTTCACAGCGAGTCAAGGAAAGCCGTCACTTTTAGACAGTAATTTCTCATATATGGAAGCAGAAACAACACTCTTTAATATTATTGATCTTTAAAATGCATTATCATATCAGATTTTCCACTACATGCTATTTATGTAAAATAAAACCGACTAGATATCTTCTCTCTTTCTGTAACTTACAACCCACAGCTATCATTGTGAAATTTACAAGCGAATCATGATTAAAAACTACAACACAGAGTAAACATAATAATTACGAATTACGAGATAAGGTTTTCGGGATACTTGAGAAGAAGGAAATTTTTTTCGCAATCGCGAATAAAGAAAACAGCGAAATGAAAAATAAAATAAAAAAGCAAGCAATCGAGACGTATATGTTCATATATATCCAAAGCTTCGATCAATGTTTATTGAAATATAAATAAAAACAAAAACGAAAGAAAGAAAGAAAAGTAAAAACTCAAAACAACATCGCGGATAAAATCACAATGAAAACCTTCACTTTCACCTCACCTGCAATTGTGAATTGTGTATGGTCGATTATAATTTTAATGTTATTTTATTTGCTTCCTCTCAGGCTTGATAAACTTAAGAAAGCAGCGAAAGAAAAACGAGAGGGAAAACTAGTTAACAAAGCCCTATAGTCAATCGATTATGTTCATCGCGCAAATTAATTCAATTTTAATCACGCTGATTTTCACTTTGCCTTCGTGATCGATTTTTGAAAATTCTTGTTTTTATTTTTTTCTTAACGCTTGCTTTGTGTTCATTGGTATGCTGTCGGCTTTAACTTGAACGAAGCAAAAACTAATGTTGTTATGACCACCTATGGCTTCAATCGCCTTGACACCGAACCGCGCTAGCCCTTTATAAATCCTCGTCGTTTCAATTAGAAAACGAAAATAAAATAAGAAACAACATACATATCTATGTACATCGACATAATAGCGAATAACATAAAAATCTAATCGACAAGACTTTCAATTATGTATTTTGTTTTCAAGTCATTTAAAAATTAGAAGTGAAACTGCAGTAAGAAATTTTTTGGAATTTCAAAATTATTTCTTCATTTTTTTCCCGAACAACATGAGAAGAAAAAATAAATTCTCAATCGAGTTTAAATTGTAATTGGAGAATAATTTATTTAAAGAGATAGATCAGTTTAAAGAAATAAATAATTATATTAACCTGTAGTGTCTGTCTCTCGACTTCGACCTCGAACCTGCGCTTTGTTCTCTGGCTGCAATTTGTCTCTTGTTGGTGGCGATTTGCTTGAAATTGGTTGATCGCTGTAAACTGAAAATCAAGAAAACAAAATAATAAAAAAAGAGATTATCGAGATTATTATTTGTTTTGTAAGAGATTTATTGGTCTTGGAGATTTACTCGAGAATGCTTAACAGTAACGACAACAGCAGCAGCAGCAACAGCAGCTTAATACGAAACGAATGAAAGGAGAGAAGAAGGAAAACGAAAATAAGAAAAAATTGTATCATTTTTGGGCTGTGAGCAGTCAATTGTCTGAAATTATCTGTCTCGTAACGATCGCATCGCTACGAATCGACGAGAATTTTGTCCGCTGAACTCTCATGGTATTCGTTGAACAACAACAATACTCGAATTAAGGCAAACGTCGAGAGTCGAGACGATCAATTGATGTCAAAAACCTTTCCGAGTTCAATTTGTATTTATATGGGGAGGTGAATGAAGGTGTAGCGTAGCCCAAAAAAAAGCGAATTAAAATTTCATCACAATTCATAATTTTTCAGCACTTCAGCAAAAAAAGATTTTGAGATTTATGATGAAAAACTTTTTTAAAAAAGAGTGAAACAATAAAAAAAGGCGCGCGAGACCCCCAAGTATGGCATGTTAAACGATTCAAATCGAGTGAGTGAGTGAAATAGAAAAGAGAATCGCCAATAATTTGCCATTCATTAAGTGCAGTTTAGTACAACGCGTGGGAGTCTTCACACATTATAATTATTATTTCTTCCTCCATTTACATCGTCAATAATTTTTCTGTTTTGCCCTGAAATGAATTGCGATTTGCAAAGAATTTTGTTATACAAATTTATTCATAAAAATGTGTTTGAGGTGCGGATTATGATGATGATGATGATGATGATTGGATTGAGACATGTCGTGGAACATAAGAGAAGCGCTAAGCTATAGAAGGAAGTTAAGCAGCAATCTCAACATCAACTCGCTTGTTTAATCCAATTCGTTTTTTTATTTTATTTTATTGTTGTCTTCTCTCCTTCTTGACATCATTCAGAATCATATTTGAATCTAATTAAGATACATTTTTATTGTGCTGTTGGATTATTTTTGTATTGTTTCGAGACGAGAGTTGTAAGTGAAAGGCTGACTGTCTTGACTTCTACTTTAAGAAATATGTTAAGGTCAACTTCAACATGAAAGCTTCTTCTTCAAATGAATGATTCTCATTAAATACTTGCGAGAAAAAAAATTGGGACAATCTCACTCTCAAACTCATCAACTAATCAGCCTTTTAAATGTTTAATTTGAATTTTTCTCTCTCTCTCTCTCTCTCTCTCTTCTTTTACAATCGACTTGGTTGGTTGGCTCAGTCATGAACCTACACCCAATTTTGAAGTTTTTTTTGTGCCTTTTTAATGCCAGTCTAACGGTGTGAAATGTGTGGAGGCTGAAAACTGGGTCGCGTCTGGCATTTCCGTCAAATGTCATGGGCACATTCTAAGCATCATTGGATGTTCGACAAAGATTTACCGATGTTAAGCACCTGATGCCCTTTTGTTTGAAAACTTCAATTGTACTTTTTAACATGCTTAGAATTCAATGAAGGAGAAAAATAGAAACGAGTTGTTTGTATCCGGTTATGTCACTCAATTCCCACACAATTCCCTTTCTTCTCTTTACGCTGTACGGCGACCGAGACACTGATCAATCAATCGCACATATGTACATGAATGTAACAAGAAGGAAACTTACATTTTTGATTTTGACCTTTAAGGAAGGCATTCCGTTTGTGATGGCGAACTTTTGATTTGACCAGTTGCACAAGGACATTGTACCACCATTTGGACTCCTCTTGACACGTGCCCTTCACAAACGTCGAACGATCTGGTGTTTGGATGAGGATCGAATTGATATGGCCGGTGATTTGTTCAGCGTCAGCTACTTCAATCACGTCTGACATGTTGATGCTGGCTTGCGGAATTGTCTCAGGCTGTGTGTGCGTGAAAATAAGAAGAAAACACAAAAAGAATTAATGACAAATAGTTTTATTACTCTGATATTTAAACTCAATCCCGGTTCATTAAAGCCGGATAAATTTAAAGCAATAAATACTCACGCTTTCATCTACCGAGTACGTAAGTTCGCCATCATCGAACAGAACAAACCAACGTCGCTGCCACCGCTGGAAGCAAATCGAAATTTAATTAAAATCTCATTCATTCTAAAGCGATAGGTTTTTAATCTTTTTTTTTTCAGTGGAGATTAACTGTACATGAAGTCGAGGGAATTTCTGACCACCAGATCTTCGTTTAATGATCTCAGTCTCTTCAAACTGCCGGACGGATGAATTCAAAGAATTTCCTACCGCATTGTTAAAGGCACAATTTGTGGGCTTGCAAGAAGAAACAGAATAACAAAATCATCAACTTAATTAAAAGCTGCATAGAATCATCATCACCAGCACTTTACAGCATCTTTCATGGGATCGATGGGATCTTACGAATTGTCGAACACAATAACTTTTCTTGTTGTTGTTCGACGTTTCTTTCATTTTTCGTGCGCTTCATTTCATCGATTCCGAAATCTTTATGTGAACCTCTCGCTGCGGTTGAATCTCTTTCATATATATTTTTTCGCGCTTATGAAAAACGATTTTGTAAGACTTAATTGGAGATTTGACGTCTTTTAAGTGAGGAAAATGAAATAAGAAGGTGAGAAAGAGAATTGAAAGGTAACAAGTGAATCTCACTAATGCTAAACATGAAACAGTTGGCACATAACAATCTCAATCATTCGCACAGTTGAAACCGTCTTCTAATTCACAAAAGGTTTAACAACATTTCAAATTTTAAATGTTTAGCTTAAGGCGAAAGTTACGCAAACGTGGAGAAAGAGAAAAGAGATTTCATTCACCCCTTTGGCGAATTTCGAATTCCAATGCCGAAGCGCATTTGAAATTAAAAAATTTTCTTCTTGAATTCAAATCGACATTTCTTATTCGATTTCCAAACTTCGAATGGAATATCTTTGATCACTCGCGCGCGCGATCGGCATAATATACAAAAATATGAAAGTTTTTTATGTTTTTTTTTGAAAAAAGAAAAAAAAGTTTCATAATTATTATTTTAGTCTCTGCTATTGTTATCTGGTTATGTCCATTCAATTTCACATATGTATGCGATTGTGTATGCAAGATGTGAAAAATGTGGAAAAAGAAGAGAAAATAAAGGCAAATAGCATAAAAAATCCAAAGCATTGACCATATGTGATTTGCATATAAAACAAGCGGGTCGGCGAAATGTGTGAAATGGAAGTAAAACAATTCACAATTTGTCGTCGCCTTTTTGTTTAGCGATCGATTTGGAATTCTCTTTTCTTCACATTTCATTTGTCGCATATGGTGTTGATGACAATAAGGAAAGGATGGAATGGAATACCGTTAAAGGAATCTCATTTAACTTAAAATGGAATGAGTGAATTTGTTGTTGTCAGTTGTTAATATCAGGAAGATGAAATCCTAGAAATGTTTATTGTTAGAAAGCAAGCAAGTCACTTCTGTTTGCGCAACATTATTCAACATATTTACATCAACATTTCAACGCTTTGGCGAAAATAAAAAGCACTGATCGATTGTGAAACGTGATGTGCAATGGACATAACTTCAGAGTGGAGAAAAGAAAGAAGAAAATCATTTCAAACCAAATTTAAAAAAGAAATTGAAAAGAAAGAAAAAAACTTCATCACAAATGCGGACGGGAAAAGCTTTGGCAGACACATCAAGACGCGCTGTTTTTTTTTTGTTGTGCATGAAAAAGGAAAAAAAAATTTTACACGAGCAAGCTGAGAGCGATCAGCAGCGACGGGTCATTGCACCATCATTAGGCAGCAAAATCAAAAAAAAAGTTTGTCGCTCACTTCGTGGACCGCTCGCATTTATTAAACATAAAGTTATGTTGTTGGATGAGGCTTTGTGATGGATTTGTGTACTCCGATTGTTATCACACTTTGAATTTTTAAATGAAATGTTATACAAGTTTCAGTCATTGGTGCTGCATCATGTCATGAATGCGGTGGATTAGATAAGAAAGGAATGAATGAAGAAAAAAGTTATTTTTGATATCCGAGACAGTTGGCATGTAAAGCTTCAAATGTCTCGCATGATTGCAATCACTTGCCACATTCCATTCGCATTCGTTACACCCCAAAACATCATCAACGTTCAGTCATTGTGGAAAAGAAAAAAAATGAGAGATTGATGTAATGAAAGAATTCAAATATCTTCTCGAACAAAACAAAACACATCACATCACATTCATCTCGCCAATGCATCATTGAATCGCGGGAATTCTTAAAAGCATTTTAAACAACAAAAAAAATGAGAAAATAAAATTATCGCATGCAATTGGGGGAACGTGAGTCTGTCGAAACATGAGAATACGAGGAATGAAAAATGTTAAGCTAAGTGAGCGGGAAAGACGAAATGCTTAAGTAACTCTTAAATGTCTTGAAAATGTCTTCACTTGCGCTGTAATTCTCCAATTTTTTTCCCTCCCACAGCGTCAGATATGATTGTTGAAGACTTGAATGTTAATAACTTAAGTCTGAGCTGAGTAACTTCATACATAGTTATCTATTTTTGGGATGATTAATTCTCCCCCATCTTCTTACTTATGCCGGCGATCGCAAGCAATTTTTTCCTCATCAACTCAAACATTTTTTTCGTTCAGTGAAAAGCATTTAAATGATCTTCTTTTTATTTATGCTCGATGTGAACTTCTTCTCTTTATTTCTTCTTCTTTTTCGCCTTCGTTTTTCTTTCTTAGGTTTGAGCTACGGTAATGCCATGAGATTCTCACATCATGCTTTGCCGATGCTGTGTTCGTTAATTCATTTTGGCTTTTAAGTTTTAATAAAGTAAGCAACAAAAGGTTGGCCATATGATTATCTGTATACACTTTGAAAGTTTTAAAGTTACAAATGACATTTGTGATGATGGTAAACCTCAATGATCTGGTCATATCTGCTTAATGTGTTTCCTTTCCCAGCCCCAAAATAAAGAAAAAAGTTTAATTATTTTGGCTGATTTTTTTATATGAAAATTGAAAGTTGTTTGCGGCACTTGAGTGCGAAAGTAAAGGCAACATTAAATCACATAAATTATTTGAAATATTTCCTAAATATTTCTTTTTTTCTTACTCTTACTGTCGTAACTAATTCGTAGTGAAATTACAAATCTTTCTTTGGGTTTTGACTTTCCTTCTGATAGAAACTTTCGTTGTCACAAAACTCAAGAAGTCTGTTGATGTAATTTGTGCATGTGATGATGCTATAAATATCCAAAGGCTATTCTATGCATTTTAAAAAACCAACAAATATTTTCATTTTCTCTCTTTTCGTCGTTTTCAAAGAAAAAAAGTTCGGAAATAGAAAAGAAAAATGTTTTTTTAAGTTTTCTCGACTGACTTATAATGAATGTCGTTTTGAGAAGTTAAAGAAAAAAAATGAATGCAAGTAGCAAGTCGATGCCATATCAACATCAAATGTTGAAAGGAAATTTCACCGGAAAACTTTATGCAGTGAAATGTTATCCATAAAGGGTTTTCATTTACGACGATAGTTTAATTTAATATCTTTCATTCCAACACAACCTCGTTTTATGCTTTGATATGTTATTTCGTTTTCGTCTATTCCGCCGTATGATTTGTTTCTTCTTTTCTTCGTTTTCTTAATTCATAATGACTGAAACTAAGAGAAGACTTTCACGTATATATAAAAAACCATTTATAGACTTGTTTACGCAAACACACACTTGAAAAAGATGATGACGACGACGAGAAGGAATAAAAAAAATGAAGTTGATTTTGAAAAATTCGAATTAAGAAAGGTTGACCATGAAGTTAATGAAATGGTAATTGGGAGAAATTTTCTTTATCAAACATTAATGAAGATGGATGAAGGGTCTCTCGACTTCGTCTTGTAAGCTATTTAATATTTAAATAAATGATTTCACTCTTCATTATGTGATAATTTAAATAAATTTTTTAAAAAGTTTCCATCCTGGGACATTCTCAGCATGCTTTTCTTATAATCATTTCACCAGCAACATCAAACATTTGTGGGAGCGTGAAACTAAATAAATTGTGTCTCTAGAACTGCGCAGTTTGAAAATTGTTTATTTTTATGCTGATCTTTTCTCGCTCTCGCAACATGTAGAAAGATCGTTAGCACGGTGATGATATTTCTTACAACATTATTTGATATCGATACTGCCACCATCTCTCACACTACAGATTTACATTCTCGGCCTGATGCCTTCCTTTATTCCCCCATTTCTTTATTCGCTTCTAAACATTATTTTTTTATATGTTCTGGTTTAAGAAAGCGCGCGAAAGATTGTGCGGCATTTCTGTGTACATTAAGACCGTGCGAGATTTGAGATGATCATAATAAATTATATCGAAGCGGAGATTTTTTTTCTTCTTCTATGTATTTTATACTATCTGACTGCTGCTATTAAAAAAGAGTCTTGCTGAGTAATTGTTTTGTAATTTTCCTGCACCATTGGATCATTTCTTATCATTGATCAAACCACTAATATATGGTGCAGTTTGTTTGAAATTTCTAGCGCACAGTTGTTGTGCACACTCGCTTCAACTTTGAAGCTTTTTAATAAGTATGAAAGGTTTATGGTTTTGGCGAATTGAGATGAATTTCTGAAAGATCAATTTAGATGATAAGACAAGAAGTTAATTAAAGATTTATCAAATCGCATTTGGTATCGCCTGCAGCATGACGTACTTCATCAACACATTTTGCGTATTTTTCTTATTTTTAATTTCATTTCTTTTCAACGTGAAAATGAGAATCAAGGCGTTAACTTCGATGAATCGATTAAGAAAATAAATATTATTTAATCTCCACTGGTAGCATAAAAAGTTATGTTGGGGTTTGTACTTACCTTTGTTCTGTAAAGCGGATTTCCCCAATCCCAATCGTGAGGCGCCACAAACAAATAGCCACATTTTGAAATTTTCCTCGATGCCTGATGAAGCAAAAGTCATAACATAAAAAAGAAAGAAAAAGAAATATGTTTAATTAATTAAAAATGCATATAATGTATGCAAAGTGCGTTCTCATTTCACATCTTGGCGTCCACATCGGAATACTTATTTAGAAGTAAATGAAAGGCGCAGTAATAATAATAAAAAACAAAACAAAAATAGAAGGAAAAAAGAATTCAAGCATAGCATGAACACAAATATTAATTAATTAAGTAAAATTGGATGGAAGAAGAAGTTGGATAAGCAGAGAAAGAGATTGCGACGAGAAAGGCCGTAATTTATATTTGTGTTTACGAACAATCTAAACTTACTCGTCACGGACCATTTAACACACTTGTGGAAGTCAAGTTTTCTCGAGCAGCATGCAAATCTGGTTTTTTGTTTCTTTTCCAATCTCTTTCTCGGCTAATTATTACCCTTTTTTATTATTTTTTGTTGTAATAAGCTCAAACGATAATTTCATGATCACTGTTGTTGATTCTCTTTGAATGCATTTTTTTGTTATTTTTCTATGAATTGCTGGTGTTTGTTCCAGAAAAAGTTTCACAAAAGCTGTAGTATTCAGATTGGAAAAGCATATTAAATTGCATGCATCATTTTCGAACGGAATAATGCGCTGGTTGTGTGTAGATTATAGCAAACGTTCCACCACATCAGCCAATTAATGATCTGATTAGATAGAGAGCGTTAACAACGATTGCATTTTTCATGTCGTTTCTTTTCTTTCTCTTTTTTTATTTTTGTTTTTAATGCTACAAATTCTATGCTATGTGCTTGTCTGTTCGGTGATTGAGCAACTTGATCGACTTAACCCCGAAACTTAAAAGTCGAAACGAAAAAATTTCATGCGAATTTATTCTTAAACTCCAAATTGGAACGCTAAAAACCAATCATCTAAGTCACATCGAAATAACAGAAGAAAAAAAATCTAATTATCAAGTTGAATAAACGTATGTGTGTGTGTAGTTTTAAATTTCTGATAATTGTACTGTTCCGAAATTCCTCACGTTTTCTTCCGCATGTTATGAGGCCGAGTAAGTCGCGCGCAAAATTTAAGTGAAATTACAATTTTAACAATGATAATCAGCCGTGCCATTTTGGGGCCATCAGAGAAGAGACAGAAAAATATTTATCGACAGCACGTATAACCCACAAACTGAATGAACAGAAACATGACGAGTTGAAAAGAAAAAAAAAGTCAATCTGAATAAATTCCAAGAGTGAACATAATTTGACATTAAAATTAACAGAAATTGAAATTCATGAGATGACAAAGACGACGAAGACGACGATGATGATGACGACCGACGAAAGTGATGATTTCCATACTAAATTCAATCTCGTTTCTGATTATTACCAGACTTATGTCAAACTGCTTATTTCTTTTATGTCGTTAAATATTAATAGAGTGAGAAAGATGATCAAGTTCTTCGTAAATAAGATTTTGTATCAACGATTTGAACTTTTAAATCTTGATAAAAAACAAAAAGACATTGACGAGTTTGATGTTTCACTTGTTGCCACTCAGTCATGATCAGCGATCACTTTCAAAGCTTTTATAGGTCATTTTCACACAGACAGACAGCACACAACAAATTGTCCGATTCATCGAACAGAGTGAAGCAAGCAAGTGCTTTTTTATTATTGTTCAATTTAATTCTTCTTCTTTTTATTTTTTCGCTTTATTTCTTTTTAAAACTTTGTAAAGCTTGTACGATGACATTAAACACAGCCACGTCGCCCAACCAAATGAACCGCGTCTCAAGACTTATCTAATGGGATTAGAGCGATAGTAGGACGAGAAAAGATTTTTCATGGACAATCTCTCTCTCACTCTTTCTAACATTCACTCACTCACTCGACCAGCAACATAAAAAAATCTTGATCTCATAAATGTCTCTTCATTATCTGTTATTATCATGGCCATTCGTTGTAAGTTGCTTGAGGGACTATTATGGTCTAATCTTGCTTGCTTGCTTGTTTTGTTGGCCAAAGACCTCAATTAATTATTATTCGATGTTCATTTCATTTTTGGACTCAAAGCATAAGTCAAAAATAAACTAAAATTAGGTCGTAATCACCAAAGAACCCGAACGTAGGTTTCAATGATCCATTTGAACTTGAAACCTATCTGTAATCATCAAAAAGGCCCTGATCAAGTCCAACAAATGAGCAGCGACACGTTGGAATGAACAGCAATTTTCATCTTTCTACAAAGCGTGGCCTTTTCTTTCGCGCCAAATGAAGCAAATGAGAAAAGGAGAAAGAAAACAGAAAAATGTAAAACAGTAATAAAAAGCCGTAGAAATACTTCATGCTATAAATAATAATTTAAATAATAGAAAAAAGCGAGAAGTTTGAGAGGAAAAGAAAGGAGAAAATGTAATCAGTGCTTTTTATTATGTTTTCAGTCGCCCGATAATTGGATTTTTTGTGTGCAAAGTTTACGATCTATTGCGCGACTTGCGACTTATGTACGAGCAACAACAGAAAACAAAAACAAAAAAATGTTCACGAAGCATAGCGAACAGCGTGTAACGAGACAAAAATCATTGTCACAACCAATTTTCCTTCTTTTTCCGCTAAAATTCAAAATTCATTCTTTCCAATAATAAATTTTTCTTTCTTCCTCGATTCATTCATTCAATTTGGATGAAAACTTTTGTTGGAAGTTATTTTAGTTGGCAGAGGCTTACTTATCGTCGCTGAAGTCGTCGTTTGCTTATTCGTATTTATTTTGTGTGTTTTGCCCATGTCTTGTCTTGTCTACACACTTACAAGGCGCGCTTACAATTTATTGGAGAGATGAATACATTTTAACGGTAAAAAAGCGTTTCTTCAAAAGAATTGTGTTCCTATAAGCGCAAGACAACATTGTCGGGGCAATGAGAAAGATATCGCCTGCCTTGCCTTTCAATTTGCTTTTTTTTTTCTTCTGTTTCTCCATCAACATCGAGACTAAGATCCATGCAAGACATAAAGAGAGGATGTGTTGTTACATGTGTGTAAATTGTAATTATATAACAAATTGATACTTTATTTAACTTCTTCTTTCCCCTCACCGAACGATTCTCAAGACAAGAATTTTTCTGTTATTTCTTTATTTTTTCCTTATTGATTCTTTAAAGTTTAAAGTCATTCAAGGCACAAAAATTATTGACGATAAAATTAAAAGTAACGTTAACTGAATGTTGCAATTCAAGGAATTGTTTCGCGTGAATAGAAAACATCTTCACATCAGCATGCATGAAGACAACAAGGTGAAAATACTTAGAAATGGATGTCGAACGATTGGCCGAATGGAAGTTTTCAGGATGAATGACAAATCCAGTTATTTGTTTGCTTCATTCCCTCCAATCACTTCAAGAGACATAAGCACTCAATCTAATAGATCTTACAAGTATGAATAAAGGCAAAGGCCGCGCTTCGCACTTCTGCTCGCACTCACCATCAAGTGATGATGATTCATCATTTACAGCTTCAACTATCAATAATGTTTCTTTTCTTCTTCTTCGTCATCATTTTTTTTATTTCCTTCACTAAAGTTGAAAGACTTTTCTTTCTTCTTATTTATTTATTTTTTCATGAAGTATTTCTCTCGCCTGCACGAATGTGACTTCTTCTGCAGAAGATTTTTGGCGTGCTTAAAATTATTTCTTGGAGTGCTTTGCGAGTTTCAAGTGAAGAATAAAAAAAAGAAGAAAAATTTATTCTGAAAAAATAAGCTACATGCCTTTGGTCGCGAGTCATAAGATCTTATATTCGACAAACAACAAAATAATAATAAACACAATGAGACATCGGGATGACGCGTTGATGTTGAATGAATAATTTTCTATGGTCATCGTAATTTCCTTATAAATCGACATGCATCACAAAATTTTGTTCCTTCTTTCTCTTTTTTCCTTCGCATTAAATGTTATTTAAGGAATTCGGAATCATAACAAGATTGATGATTACAAAACTTTAGAAAAGCTGAGAAATCTCCAACAAAGATTTGCAATGGCCATGACCATGTGTCGACATTAATCACGAGTAGCGCCATAGCGAAAATTATTTACGCAGATATTTATGGAGTTGTTAAAGAGATTGCAAAGCTTGTAAACAAATAGCCCAACGAGCCCAGTCATGTACACCACGCCGATTTCTACTCAGTCTTATTTTGTGTATGACTTTGAATTAATAATTAAGCGACACCGTTTGGGTGACAAAAATATTTTTTGTTCGTTCATGAATATCGCGCACCGACCTTGTTTCATATTATTTCAAAAGCGAGAATTAAAACAAACAAAAGTATAACAATATGATTTTTTTTGACACATTAAAATATGTTTAAAGTTTTCAAAGCTTGAAGCAATGTGAATGAAACTCAAGTTGCATTAATGATCATTTTCGAAAACAAAAAATATTTAGAAATTCTCGGAACGAGACTCGTTGGCGTGATTTGTGTGATAATTTTTCTTTATTTTATTTCGCTGTCACATTTTTCAAATTTCTAATTGACCTAGAGAAAAGGCAATTGGAACTTGAAACAATACAACATTATAAAACAAGTAGCAACGACGCATAGTTATCGGAATTTAGCTCGAAATGGAACAAACCAAAACGAGTAGCATTAGGATTGATTCATCAAGTAAGATGATATGCCAATGGCTTGCTTTTTGCCTAACAAGATAAACAAAACAAAGAAAAAGGCAACCGAGAGTTGGAGAAATACTCGTTTGGTGAGATACGAGATTTCTAAATGAAGATCTTTCCACATGCAGTTGCTAAATTTAGAAGAAAAAAAAGGCAGAGATTTTTAAAACTTCCAAACAATGAACTGGCTTTGTTTCGAATGAGAAAACGTTATTGAATCTTAGGATTAAGCGAGCGTCTTGACAGTCTCTTTTATGATATGTTTGTTGCCTCAGAGTAAGCAAACATATTATTGACATTTTTAAGAACTAAAAGTCAAGACATAATTCATTTTTAACTAAAGATTTAAAGAGACATTTATTATAAGCATTTAAATGCATTCAGGCAAGCTTCAAAGTGATTTTAATAAGGTTGAAAGATCATTTCTGTGAGAACTCAAACTGACGGAAACAATCGTTCAAATCAGTGTTGTTATTTGTAAAGATAACTTAAAGAATTTATTTGTTGAAAGATTCTCACAATTTCATATCATTGACCTCCTTACTGGATATCTAAACATATAAAATAAATAATCAAATCAATTTGAGTAAAACTCAATACGATCTGTGATTCATGTGATTCATCACAACACTGGATGAGAATAAAGAAAGAATCTTAAATAAATTGAATGCTCGACAACTGCGCTTCGAAATGAAGGCTTGAAAGATGTCATAAATATTTATATAACAATCGATAGACATTCAACTCAAGTGCTAATTCTTACTCGTTCATTTCTCTCTAGAATCGTTTTGTGCGCGCGAAAAAATTGTTATTTTATGCTAAATAAAGCATCTATATGCTCAACTATAAACTTTGCATAAATTTTCATTCAAAAACGTTTCTCCATTGTCTTTATCGTAGTTTTCTCTTCAAAATAAGGAAAGGAAGAGAATTTATGTGCAGCATAAACCTGCTCGGATGTAACTTACATCGTCGTCTTTTGTTTCACCCTAATTGGCCACGAAAATATCTATTGAATAGTGCGAGTGATGACACTAATTGAGTTCTTAGGTTTGTATGCAAATTGTCAATATGTGGCTCGATACATAAAATAAGAAAGAAAACCAAAAACCAAACACAATTGAATGGGCAACAATGATCGGAAAGCAAAAGACTTTTGTCCCGAAAGCGAAAATTATGAATGACTTTGTCGTTGTCAAACTTAATGGGGCGTTTGATCTAGTTTTCAACATTCTTCGAAGCATGTAGATTTAGTTTTTCACAATTTTGTTAAATATTATTATGCTTGAGTTTCGTTTGGTTTTGTTTTTTTGTGTTTTTTTGGAAAGGGGGGACTGGCATCGAACTTCGAAGACAATCGAAAGGCGAGGAGGTAAAAGTATCTTATGTGCACACCCTAATTCTTTTTCTTGTTTAAACTGCATTAATTTGTTACCTCATGCATGTTAGGCTTGTTCCTTTTATTGATTGAGACATAACAAAATTCGGTTTCGACTTTTGCGGTGGTGCGTAAAACGTAATTTTTTTTATTTTATTTGGTGACCTCTATGTTGTATCATATTTCACGTTGAAATATAAAAAAAATGCTAACAATTGATGGTATTGGCCAACACGAATAGAAAAGCTGAGCTCTCATACTTCGTGGAGGTCGATTGCCCATAATTGCTTGATTAATCGAAAGTGTGACTAAAGGTGAATGGCGCACACTTTACCGAAATTATCTGCACTTAATTACGTGATGCGAGAAGAATGAAAGAAAAAAGATTTCCCTTTAATAGACTGGAGAATTGTGCATGTGCCGAGTTGTAAGGCACGCGAAATAAAAAAAAGTTTCTTTCTTAAAATAGAAAATTTTCTTTCATCTTGTTTCGAATGAGTAAACGCAGAGCTCATCTCGAGACTCGCAAAAATTTACACAATTCACTCTTCGCTAAAGATTATTGCGAAAGCTTCTTCCTTTCCATCTTCTTTCGGTTTATTTTTTGCATTCCGTTCTCAAACTTGCGCATGTTCAATCATCGATATTTTGTGGTTTTTAAGCAAAGTTTTTGGCGTTGGCGCCAATGACTTATTTTGTTTGTTTTAAAGTGTTTCGAAAGAATAAATAACTTCACGTTAAGTCGTCAACTATCGTCATAAATCCCCTCAATCTTTTCATTCACGCAACACATGAATGACGAGTTGGTTTCTGAATCATTTTTATCTTATCGGTAACACGTTCCTTCATTTAATTAAAGAGAAAAAATATTAATTTCATGTCTTTTGTTTCTTTTTTAAAGAGTTTTTATTGTTGTTGTACCCGCATACCTACTTAGATTTGTAGTCTTAACGCCATTTTCGTCATCAGAGATAAAAGAGTTTTAACTCTTGCCTTCGTTTCATAAACGCCATTTGTGGTTAAAGAGGTGTCACTTTATGTCCTTGACGAAATCATCAACAGAAAAACTCGTTAGATGGCTGATTTCGAATCTTGTGGTTGCTAATGAGCTCAGTGCCGATTGTGCAAATATCTATTGACAGTAAACATGACTCTGCATTATCTCATCACCATCGAAACTCTTTTCAATTTTTTTCATTTGAGTTTGTTCCGCTCTCGCTCCAAAATTTTATTACAATCACAAGGATTTTCATAAATTTTGTTTCTTTCTGTGGTTTCTGGTTAAATCAACTATCTACTAAATATTTAGAAATTCCACCCTCGATCATAAATTTTCGGGTAACGTCATTTTTATTTTCTTGAGAAGCTGTTTAATGAAGCAAAAGTCTTTTGCTTGTTTCGTTTTGCATTTTGCGATAGTGCGCGTGGAATGAGAGAAACTTTAGTGATTATTGATTACTTCCTGGAAACAATTCGACACTTTCAATGTCTTATTGACGCATGAGGGTTTTGAATTACAACAGCAGTGCCTCATTTTAAATAAGCTGAACTGCGAGAGATGAAAAAAAAACAAAACTAAGGCATTAGCAAGCTCAATGCACGAACGATTGAATTGTGTTTACATGAGAACAATTTAAAACTGTAATGAGAAAGAAATAACTTTCCACGCAAGACGTTGCTATAGTTTTAAATGACGCGCTTTGCTGTTAAACGCTTCTCTTATCTAGAGCAGAATCCAATTAAAAAAAAGTCGCTAATTAGCTGATTGCGCGCAAAGCTTTAACGTATTTTTACGAAAATTACAACACGAACGATCATTTTCATTTCAAAAGAAATAAATGGATTTTCTTTTGTTTAATGCGAGAGAAAATTGGAAAATGTTTTGTATTGCGTTGAACGTCTGAGTGAAATTGGAAATGGCAACAAATTTTTATGTGAAACTTTGTTTGATTCCGGATGATTGACACTCAACAATGTTATGTGTAGCCAGAGTTGAATGTAGGTTGATAATTATTTTTTAAACTTAAATTACTCTGACGTTGTGACTACAAAGTTCGAACATTGCCATTCATAAAATTATTACTCTACGCACCCATAGTTGTTGATTCTACCTTGGAATGATTACATAACTTATCAACATTTACACTCTAACACTTTGCTGATAATCACTAAACTAACGTGTTGTCATAAAAGTTTCTCATATTGACGCGCTTATTCTTACTTCTCAAACAACAATCAACCCAAAGTGGAGTTTCGTTATTAACTTGACAGTTATGAAATTGAAAATTTGTGGTTTTAACATTGCGGTTGTCGTTAGTTATATTTTTTGTCGTTATTTTTGCAATAGCTGGAAACTCAAATGATCTCTCGTGAAGTTTATTTTTATAAAGAATGACTCAATTTGTATCGCCATACGAAGTCTCATAATAATTTATTTCTTTGAAATTCAAGCTTGGAACAAACAAATTTTTTGTTTTCTTTTTCAATTTGATTTTTTTTAATTTTTTTATGAAAGTGAAACTTTAGTTATTATTTTGTTTTTTGGCGAATTTGATTCCATGCCCGATTATCATGAACTTTTGGAGATTGATCGTGGGTGATTATCGACTTCAAATGTTGCGTTTTCCAAACGTGAACCTGAAGAGCTAAGATAAAACCTTTTTGTTTTGATTTTTTTTATTATTTCAACGAGAAAGTGAAAAGTGCTTAGCGATGAAAAAATAAATGAAAGAAATCGAAAATCCGTCGAAAGTAATTTTAATTGAGCTTAATGCAAGTGAGTGAATCGTGTCGCAATACAAATTCCATTTCCAAAACAAAAGCCTCTCGTTTTTTATTACGAGTATGATTGAATGAATGTAAAAACAATTAATTCTGTTTTTATTCTTTTCATATTCAACTCCCACGATGAAAACTTTCATTGGCAATTGTTTCATTTGTTTTAATATTCGACGAATGGAAATTTATTCATAAAATAAAACTACGACAAGTGCCCGTCGAACTACACGATCAACGGAAAGAAAACTTCGAAATACCTTCGTCTCTTCAATATCTTCACCGTCACTTGATGTGGCCTAAAATTCGTGTTGTTTTTTTTTATTTTTTATTATTATTCGCGCACAAACACTAAAAATATATCCAGCTTTCAGTATGTAAAGAATTTCTCAACTACAAGCATCATGGAAAGGAATACAAAGCCAGTCCCACACAGTCGCAACCAACCCGTCCAAAACTCATAAATACTGTATTGGAATCTTTATAATAATTTTTTTTTTCGTTAAATATTTGTGAGAATTTTATTTTTTATTTTACTTTATCCAAACTCGAAAATCTTTTTTATTTTATTCTTTTATTATGTCGGCCCAAAAATCTTTTCCTTCTTTTTTTATTATTATTGTAAAGAAAAGTTTTTCTTGTTTACCGAGGGATGCAGAGTTAAGATGTGATATTATTTTCGTGATATTGGTTGATTTGTGTCAACGATTACTTACCCGATTGTAATCGAGAGCCGCTGGATTGTGTTCCTCGCGTTTGCCAAAGCACAATGTGCATTTATTCTTGTTGAAAATATTCGGCGAAAATTTCCGACATTCAGCAATGCAGCGATTATTGTTGCTCAACATATTTTCCGTCTTCTTGCTTTTAATTTTTTTTATTCCGTTGAGTTACTCAATGACTTATTAAATATAATGTAGTTTCTTTGAAAGTTTTTTTTTACCACCCGAAAAAAGCTGTTTCACAAATTTACTCATTACCGAACCATTCAGTAATTGCCTCGTCTTTCCACACCCGATGAGCGATGATTAAAAATTTTATACTTTTTTAATGGAAATTTTCTTGCGGGCAGCGGAAAAAAATGTTTAATTGAAAAGCAATTTAACAATTAAGATCGGAAGATGAAGTGAGTCTCGTTACATTTCATTTGTTAGATGTTGATAATTTCTTCCTCCTTCTTCAACTTTGTTTTCTTTTCTTTGTGGATTCCTTGTTTTATTACACCTTTTTATGATTTATTATGATCTTTTACAACTTCACTTTTCTCCACTTGTAGTCTTTCTTTTATATCGTAAAAGAACCAAATGTAATTCAAGAAGTAAAAAGTCACACAAATTCCATCGACACTTTTTCAAATATTTTTACTATTTTTATTTTTAGTGAATAAGTCAATGGAGAACATAAAAAAATATTAATTACTTTTTTATATACAAGTAGTAGGCACTTGTCGTTTCAATAACACTCTTTTATTCTCGGCTGTCGTTTGTTTTTTTAATTGTTTTGAGCTCTATATCTGATGTAATTGTGTAAATAATGCGCTATTTACTTTTCACGCTCGTTTTTTACTTCTCGTTTGTAAAGTGTATAATTTTCTATTATTTATTTAATTTATCTATGTTGCTTCATTATCATCGCTCGTTTTTATTTATTAGTAAATTTAAACTCCTCAAGCTATAGAGCTTCGAAGGAAAAATTTGTTTTCTTCTTCTTTTTTAACGTACAGATAAAAAAAATCACATAACTTCTCTCGTGTCGTCGATTTGTATATGTGTTAAGAAAAGAAACCTGAAATTACACAAACTAGCATGAAGAAAACTGATGGAGATTTCTTATATTCATCGTAACACATATTATTGAACTTGTTTTGCTTTTATTTTTGGAGAATTTCGTTGCTTGTGTTTTTAATAAAATTCATGAGATTGGATACTAATTTGATTTCGTATTATTATCACTCCCAAAATTTTCTTTTTTGACAGATTTACGCATGTGATAAGTACACTGTTATGAAGCTTCCAAAAGTCTTGACGTTATTCACAAATTTTATAATGTTAGCACAATTTTTCTGAAGCTTAATATGATACTGTTTACTAATGTTTTCGCTTAGAGCTAGTTTTAGCTCGAATTTCGTTGTTATTCATTAATTTTAAAATACACATCTTCACTTGCCGACGCTTCAACACACAATAAAATGTTACGAAAAATGTTTTGAATTGCTACAACGTGATCGTATATCAGTGTGGTCCAAAAATTCGAGAGAGAAGTCAGCGTAATCCAGAGAGGAGAGAGGAATTTCATAGTTCTTTTCATGAATATAATATATTGATAAGACTGATAATAGGAAGAAAGATTTCAAGTGCTGCTACTATGTTTTCAAATCTTATCAGCAATAGATATCTGAATAAGTAAAATTACTGAGTCATTAAATGCTTCATTTTATTTTTATAGACCTTAATAAGTATTTTTAAGTCCAAGCTACTTAGTTGATTCAATGAAGCTTTTCGAGGTGTTTTTCAATCAATATGAAGATTATATTCGATAGCAATAAAGTGGTTATCAGACCAATCAATGAAACTGGAGAAAACTAGCTGAACTAATTATCTTATCGTTTTTAAATTTATAATTTGCAATATCAAATGTATTTATTGAGAGCAAAGATTTCGCAAACAATCAAAAATATTCTTTAAATAATACCGACATTAAAATGTTCTCAAATCCTATTTTCTTCAATTTAAATAAATTGAAGTTTCTGGGAAATTTTTAAAAGATCAATGAACACAATTTATTGTTGATTTATTCAATTATCTAGATAAGTAGTAAGCAAAATAATTTTTGTCTCCGATTTACAAGTTCACTGAACCTCCGAATTTCAGAAAATTAACGGCACAAAATAATTCAAATATTTTTTCTCACTAACATTTGTTAATAAAAAATTTTAATAAAGTTTTGCTTCAACTTGTAAAATTTACGTTCCTCATAATTTATGCTTAATAATCGTTAAGAAAAATGAAATTAAAGTTCTATGTGCTGAATCGTGATTCAAGTTTATTTACCTGTTTTGTCATAAGAACAGATCTAGGAGTCAATACTTACTTACTTGGATATAAAACTTCAAAACAACTTGAAACTTCGAGGATATTTTGTTTAAATCCATACAGCTTCCATATGTTTTTAAATGAATTAAACAACTGCCCAACATATCATCGTGCTGTTGCCATCAATATCAAAAGGTCAAGTGATCCATATGTGATACAACTCGTACAATGCAAATCAGAATTTATTGATAAAACTTGGTTTGTTGTGATTAATTCAAACCTTGGAACTTATTGCCTAATCATAAATTTAATTCTTCTAGGGGCGAAATTATAAGACTTCTAATATGGGAGCAGCTAGAAATTGATCATATGATGAGTTGGCTCTCAACACTTGGCGGTGCTTTCTCAGCTTTAGGTGATTACTTCGAGACTTCTGCTGAGATCGCTGGAAAAATTTCAATACAACAAATGAGACTTGCATTTCGATTAGGTGATCCTGGTCTTAGATCCCGTTGTCTATTATATTTCAGTATATCACTCATTCAAAAACATGAATTCAAAATTGCTCAAAAAATTATTAAATCGCAATATGAGTTTGCTAAACAACATGACGACGTTCGGCTCATTAAAATGTGCCTTGGTATTTGGTCAAAACTTCAATGGACTCACAAAATTTCAAGACAAAGTAAAAAAGCTCAAGTCATAAAGTAAAGATTTTTATACAATTTCAAGAAAAATAAAAGACTTTTATTGAAAATATTCCCTGATCATGTCAGTATCTTAATTTCTCACATTCAAGATTATTTCTTTAGTGTTGAATTGTGGTAGTTACACAAGATGATAACTGATTATAAAGCAAGACTTCCCATAGGATCCCATGCTGGTAAAACAATCGGTTTAGTGTTGAAAACTTTCATAATATCATCAGAAACATATTTCTTATCGACGACAACTTCATAACCGTACTGCCTGAACCATTCAGCTGTCATCAACAAATATCCCTTTTCTCCTCCACGACTTTCTCCCCAAGAGTTTTCAACACGGAATTTTGTGATGTTTCCTTTCTCATCTGTACCAAAACCAGTGAAAACCATTGCGTGTGTCATCAACGAATCACCATAAATTAAACGATCAGCTTTACTCATTCCGAGTGCGACATCAACATTAAACAATGTCTTGTAGTCCAGACTGAAAATGTTCAATTTTTATTATTGCAAATGAATTTATTATAATTTCTTGCAACACTTACATATCCAGATCTTCAACACCACCTTGATAACGAGCAAATCTAGCTCCAACGTCGCATCCAAACCAAACAGCTTCACCAGCTTTTAAGCTCTTTGCAACAAGATCCATTAAAATATCAACAGGTTGATTATTATAGAAAACAGGACGTCCACCTACAACATTTCCCAAGCAATCGACTGTGTAACCTTTTCCGAATTCATTCGATGGACGTGGGTCAGTTACGAGACAAACTTTGTCATCAACATTGAAATACGGCTTCACATACTTTTCGTAGAATTCAAGAGCAGTCACGGGTCCGACTGAATTGTATTTCTTGTTTTTATCATAATATTCCCAAGTGAACTTTTCAGCAGGAATTCCAAGACAGATCCCAACAATATTATAAATTTCATCCATTTGTTGATCGACTTTCGATTGAACGTCAGAATCGGAAGCACCAGATGAATAAGCATCACGAATTTGTTTTGCATATTCACGCAACTTTGATTTTAAAATTGCATTCATACGAGATGATGATTCGCAACTGTAGCTTTCTGGGAAGCACTTTTTAGGCATGACACCATGTTTATTGATTATGTTGACAATCATATCCCATTGACCACCATCACCGATGGGATCACCAAGCAAAAAAGTCACTAAACGACCATTTACTTCTTCTCCGCGTTTAGCTGACTCGACAATATTGTTGAGGAAGTAATAACTACGCTCAATCTTGTCCCAGTAGAAGAAATACGCTTGTGAGAATTCAAATTCTTCGATATTCCATTGTTTCATAAATGGTAAACGCATTGCATTGTGAACGGCAAAGTTCCAGCAACGTCCTGTACTCTTTTGATCGCAAATGGGCTTTACTTCATCCACCTTGTAAGTGTAAACATGCTGAATTGTTTCAAATCTGGGACGAGAGACAGCAGCTTCAAGTATATCTTTTTGAGTGCAGACATTTTGAGCCAGACGATTCTTGGGACATTTATAAAATTCATTGCGCAAAGCTGTCAATGCTGAGAGAGTAAGCGGTTCTAAAATGTAAACATGTGTTAGTGACTTGGCATGAATGTGCAACTTTAATAAAGAGGCTTTCACAAATTTAAATAAGATAGTAGATAAGTAACTAAGTGAAATTTATCAAGTTTCAAGTACTTGTGGTAAAATGAGATCATTAGACTTAAAACTAACGCTTATGATAAGAGATAAGACACTTTATTTGAAGAAAACAAAGACTTAAGGCAAACAAACAGCCGGAAAAGTTTTAAGGCTTTCTCTTAATATACCCAAAGAAAATTTAAACTTACTCAAGCTCATGTTACAGTTGCTGAAAAGTTTCCTCTTTTACAAATAATTACAGAATATTTTTAAATTGATACAATTATTTTATGCGACTTGATTGCTTGACAAAAGATTTGAAAGTGAATTTTTGACGAAACAAAAGAGAGAGGCAAGAATGTTTCGATAAAAATGTAGAGAGAGTTTCGTTAAACTTTGTAAACAAACAATTTTGGCGGAAAAGAAATAATTGACACATTATTGTATTAAAACGTATCTACATACATTTTTTTAAATAATTTCATAATTTACTTATACACACATTCAACTTAAGCCTTTTCTTGAACAGACTGTTTGTAAAACAAGCGGAAATTTTCTTCATTTAAGCTTGTAAAGTATTTTTCATAGACAACATAAATTGAGGAAAATCAGTTTTAAAAAAATCTTTTTAATATTTTAGGCTTCTCAAATAAAACTCCTGCAATGTCTTCATGTTCAGTTCCTGGATGTAAATCACGTCAAATGAAATCTGACGGCACACGTTTGTCATTGCATTTATTTCCCGATCCTGCACGAGAACCGGAAAGGCATCTTCGATGGGTTCGCCTTATAAACAGTGAAAAAGTCTTTTCAAAAAGTCCTGTAGTTGTTTTTAAACAGCTAAGAGTGTGTCGATGTCATTTCGATGCAAAAAGTTTCAATGGAAGTTGTAAAAAGTTGATGAACGACGCGATTCCAACTTTATATCTTCCACAAGATTCTTCACGCTTTAAAACCAAAATTTTGCTTTATGAATTACAAATCAAGAATCTCTTGAAACAAAATACTATCGATATTCAACAAGAACTTCCTCAAGATATCACACCGGAAGTGGGTTCTCAAGATTTGCATGAAGACTCACCGATGGGTGAAGAAAATTTTGAGTTAGTTGAAGTGGAAAACTCACTGGGAGGTAATCAAGAGTATACGATAATTGTGAAAAATGAAACACAATCAGCCAAACATGCAATTGAAGTTGAAGTGAAACCAATACCAAAGATGATTACATCACGACAAATATTAACATCACAAAAAAATTTTTTTCTGAAAGAAAACTTTAAAAAGGCTGAAAAAGCGTTGAATGCCGAAATGATTCAGAAAATGCGCATTGACTTCTTTAACGATCCAAAGAAGCAACTTGCACAGAATATTTGTAATTTATCTGATCCATTAGATGTTGCGTTAGCTGATTCAAAGACTCTTGGAAAGTGTTCTCTATTTGAAGACATTGTGGATCTCCCATCTGCTTCTGAACGGTCATGGATCTCAACCTACCACAAAATTATGAGTTCATCTTTTTCTAATCATTTAAATATTGAGGAATTTCAATTCTCAGATGAATATTTCTATTATTGGGATAGAATTGAACGCAGTTACTACTTCCTTGATAAAATAATTTCGATGGCTCAAAAAGGAGAAGAATTAAGTGATCGACTTTTAACTCATCTCCTTTCAGATCCACTTCCGCAAGGTGGAAACTTTTCATTAATCGTCAATATTATTGAGAAACACGGTGTCATGCCTAGAATTAATTTTTTAAAAAGTCCAAACGTCGAAACCGTAAATCGAATGAATTTAATTTTAAAGTCGAAACTTCGTGAATTTGCGAAATTAGTTTATGATGACATTTCATTACAAGTATCAGAAGTTTCTGTTCAAGCGACGATGCATTCACAAATGACAGAAATTTATAACATTGTGGGTATTTGTATTGGAATACCGCCAGAAACTTTTCAATGGGAATATAAAGATGAAGAGAAAAGAATTAAATCTGTTGGTTCGATAACTGGTCACGATTTCTATCAAAAGTATGTGAAAAATACTTTCAATCTCGATGATAAAGTTTGCGTCATCAACGATCCTCGTTCAACAAATCAATATGAGAAAACTTACACCGCAGAATGTTTAGGAAACATCGTTGATGGTCATTCCGTTAACCTGATTAATCAACCAATTCATGTTCTTATCGATTTAGTCGTCAAGAGTTTAAAATCTGGCGAAGCAGTTTGGTTTATCAGCGAAGTTAGCAAACGTTTCTCGAATTCATGTGACATGAAAAATCTCGAAATGTAAAACAATTTAACAATTCATAAATTTAAATTTTCTAATTTCATTTCATGTTTTCTTTAGAGGAAATTACAAACTTTTGTTTGATACTGAAGTTGAGTTAGGATTAAACAAAGCTGATCGAATGACTTTTGGAGATTTTAGTACGAGTATGGCTATGATTATAACTGGCGTTAGTTACAACAGCGATGGAACACCAACAAAGTTTCGTGTTGACAACGATTCAGTAAATGACGAGAAAAAATATTTGATCATGTCAAAAGAATGGTTCGAAGAGTTTGTCATCGCAATTGTCATCGATAAAAAGCATTTAAACGAAGATGAATTAAATATTTTAGATACTGAGCCAACATCTCTTCCTGCCTGGGATCCAATGGCGAATTTTTCATTGTAAACTTCTCTTTCTTCTACGTCAGGTTTCTTTAAATTTTTGTGAAATAAATGACCGAAGATAATAAGATACTCAAAAAAAATTTCTTTTTTTTTCTGCTCATTTATTTCTAAATAAAGTCATGAATAAAATTTTCTGTAAAGAAACTTTTTTGTAAAAATGTTCTAAAATTTTCAATTGAATATCACAAAACGTCAAAGTTTAATTTTGAAGTATTCAAACGTTTGCTGTAATAAAACAGAATTAAAAATATGAATTGATATGAAGAATAAATAACTACCAGTCATTAAAATTGATAAAGTATTTAACTTTTGTAGTTCCCAAATTATTAAACGGAGTTCTCAAAGGAATTGTGTAAGCTCCCATATTCAAGAAGTAAAGAACATCGTCAATGTTCATCAATTCGATTTCGATGTCTTCACAAACTTTATCAGTGGAATCACATGTTGGGCCTTAAAAAAAAAGTTAGATATATAAATAATCATTCGATTTGTTGACTGATTCTCACCCCAAATTGTTGTTTTATATTTTTCTTTTGATCGCAAACGTTTCACGATTTGAGGTTGAACAATTTCAGGTCCAAGTGGAACGAACAGAAAGTTGGAGTAAACTCCTTCATTTAAATAATACATAACATCGTGGATGACACCATTCGAATCTTTATTCACCTTTCTTGAGTGAATTTGAGTCACAAGTGTGAATGCTGATTCAACAAAGTACCGACCAGGCTCAGAAAATATTTTCAAATCCAAGAATTCTTGAATAGGAAAGTTTTCGTCTAAATATTCGTTTATCTTACTTGCAAACTCATCGATCTTCTCAAAATTGTTTCCAGGAAATCCACCCCCAATATCAAGAATGTTAAACTTGAATCCAATTGTTTCAGCAACATCGAATAATTTTCTACAAACTTTAATAGCTGCACCATAAGTCTCGTAATCTTCGCAACTTGACCCAATATGAAAACTCAATCCAACAACATTGAGATTAAATTTTTTCGCTAACTTCAAAAGTTCTGAAGCTTCAGTGTTTGGAAGGCATCCGAATTTATTTCCCAATTTATACAACGCTTTCTCAGAACTATAACGAATTCTCAATATCAAACTGAAAAGTATGGAAAATGTTAATGATAGTTAAATAAATCACTGGTCATTGACTTACTTCGCTTTCGAATGAATTTTCTTAATTTTCTCCAGTTCATCTTCGTTATCAAAGGTCATCAAGTTGACGTTGTTGTTCTTGGCCACTTCAATATGACTCGACATTTTCGTAGTATTTGCAAAAATAATTCTGTCAGATTCGACTTCGAGTGCTTTTAATTCCAAAATTTCCGAAGCTGATGCACAGTCAAACGAACATCCGATTTCTGATAAAGTTTTAAGAACTCCGATGTCATCATTGCATTTAACCTGATTGGAAATTATCTTCATGAAACGTATTTGAAATGATTAGAAATAAACTTACAGCATAAAATGGTTTCACTCTTGGCAGTTTCTTCACCCAATCATCAAACTTTCTCATAACATCACTGAGATTGCATAGATAATACGATTCAACTGCTTTGCTGTCTTGATAATCTTCAATCAACTGTTCTATGTAGTCAATGTTCCAATCGCCACCGAACCCTCTTGCAATAATATTATTTTTAGACATGTTTTTAAATCCTTATTAAATTATTTGCTATTCGTTATTTTTTTTTACACTTCGAGTGTTCTCAACTACACACTTTGAATAAAAGTTTGTAATTAAAATTGTTTCCTTTCAACTTCTTCTTTGTTCAAATTTCTTACATTTCTTGATAAGAAACAATTTTGATGCTCAAATAAAATTGATAAGTTAATGAAGCATATGAAGCGATCACTTTTATCTCTCAAGGGTTCTTAGGGCAGATGTAATAAAGAATTTAACTCACTTCACGATTAAAGCACAATATTTATCACTTTTAAAGTTTTTTTTTATTTATGCTTCTGAATT